ATGTATAACACACTCCCTTGTACCGTTGTAAAAATTACGACTGGGTGCTCTATCCATCCATGATGATACCTTTTGCAGCACTCCAGCCACTTCTTCTCTCCCCCCAAGACAGCCTCTCCAACACACTCTTCCCGCACCTCGCATTCGCAGAGTCACACCGAGTTTGATTGTCTAAATGGAGCACAGATGGGAATGATTGCAGATAAGAGATGAAATTTATGGGATTAGAGGAGAGTTGTGGCATTTTGCACAACATTATAGGTTTATTCCAGCGGAATTCTATTAATTACACTGACTTTTCTGGGCATGTGTGTTGAATTAGTATTCCAAATTAATTGTACAATTAATGCCATACTTTTTTGCCAATTTATATTGTTGCTAAATTAAAAAAAAACTACAGAAGAAGTACCTTCAAACAGCGATTGAGATTGACATTCAAGCGATTTATCAATTAAAAATTCTCTGCTTTAAACAGCATTTATCATGTTTCGCACATCTTAAGTGAATTCTCTAGTTGCACCCGAAATTTGTACATTATTTGTTCAGTGTGCAATTGTAAATTCTCCAAGTCTGAGTGGAGGTTGTAAATCAAGAAAGGTATCTTGCTTGGCAAAGAACACGAGAGAACTTTCTTTTCTGCTCCTTTTGCCGCCCATTCAACACATGGTCGACTCCTCCCAATGTATCCATTTCCAATTTATAACCTCCTAAGCCGAGCGAATGAAGAGATTATTGAGGGGAAAACCTGCCATTTTTTACCCCGTCAATTTGCATTCTTCCATCCACAAGTACACAAACCATGTGAATTGCGGATAATGTACAAGAAAGACAGAAGTGTAATAGCATTCGGAGAGTTTCTAAAATCACCAAGCCGTGCAACAATAAATCTGTGGAAGTGATTTCCAGGCTCTTAACATCACTTGCCTTATACGACTGTTTTTGTGCCCAGCAAACCTCCTCAAATATGCCATCCACGTTTTTCTCCTATTGTCTATTTTCGCTGCACTTTCGCAATTATACCAACTTATAATGTCTCTCTGGAATTACTATACATTTTAAACACATTTTATGTGCTGTGGAAAGTTGAGTCTCTCTCGCTGTTGTCTCAACTGTGGCAGATATTCGAGGGTGGTGCCAAAGCGATGGAATGCCCAATTATATAACGGCCAATGCAGCCTCTGGACACTCTCGCCAGCGTCATCAATCATTTCTCCTCACATTGAGCCCAATTGCTAGCAAGAATGCGCCAAAAATATGCTCAAAGACACCTTTCTCTCGAAGAAATTTCACAGAGAGGCGCGCTAAAGACCAAAAAGGTCCACACACAGAGTGAATTCAATCTACAAATGAAGAGGTGTGACGACGAATGCCATCAACTAACTGTTTTTATTTCAACATCGCGCGCACTTCGTACGCAGGAATCCAATGTGAAAAGTGCTAATAGATTTTTATTTGACTTTAGCATCACGCCAAAGGAGGAGAAATGAGAAGATTGCGCGCGAGAGAGAGCGACGGCGAGAATGTAAAATAGGTTTTTGGGTGGACAAAACAACAATCATTGGCATTCTAACAGCAATCTTTAGTTTTTTTTCCTCTCTCTCTCTCTCTCTCTCTCTCTCCACCCAAGAACTCTTCCTGTGTGTGCTCTGCAAGAGAATCCGTTCTTTTCGCTCCGTTGAATTACAAATTTAATAGATGGTAATACCTATAATTCCATAAATCCCTTATAGAGCAACTCACCCAAGCCATCAAGCGAAATTGCTACTCTGTGCAGAAGAAAGATCTCGTGCGATAGAGTTGATCATTCTAGATCAACTGCGCTGTACTAATTGATAGCAGTTTGAATATATGAAATATTTGCAGGAAGGATCATCAAACTGACAAGTGCGCAATCAAAAGTGAAGGAATTGTGCGGAAGGACACTCAACTCGTAGGACAATTAACATTTCGAAGAGGAAAGTTATATTTTGATCACAAATTATGCAACTAATTCATTCTAAGCACGCAATTACTCGAGTTCCTAACCTCCAATCTTCTCAGTTTACCTCTACTTAATAGCATTTTCCGGTGAATTTCATCACGCGAGCGCGCAAAATCTGAATAAGTTCTGTTCAAGCGATAAGAACATTCACACTGCCAGTCTCTGTACATTAATTATATTTAATTTGATATGATAATTGTGTTGAAATTACTCATCTTTGTCCAGATCTATGCAGCGCCATTTCAAACACTTTCCTGAACAGCATTAACTCTTTTGGCAATTCCCCAAGGGAAGCCATAAACTCTCAATGATCTCCAATTAATTCAGCAAATATAGGCATAAAACCGCAATAAATCAACATTTTTGCAGCACAGCAAGAAGCTGGCTGAGGAAAAAAAGGCAGAGTAGAAAGCGTCACTGGCAACAACTGGAAGAATTCACATTCAAGACTTCGCAGAATGAAATGAATTCATCATTGTTTAGTGGCGGAGTTTTTTCCTTTGGCATTTGTTTTACCAACAATTGTCTATTGCTTGTTCACTTCTCTTCTGTCTTCATCTCGCTCCTCCAGCAAACGAAAAGTGACCCGAACACTTAGGCTTTTAGCCATCCCAAGCAAAGTAGTTTTAATGCCGATGAGTTGATTAAATTGTTGTGAGAAAGACGCCAGAGAGCCAAAGAGTTGCGCGATAAAAAGTCAAGTGAATCAATTGGCGACACACAGAAGAGGTGAAAAATAAAAATTCATGATCTCGCGCAAGGTAAAGGCCGAGGAATTATGGGAATTCCGTGTCGCTGAGAGTGAATAAATTCAAGAATTGAAATGCAAATGTGGCAAATGATTGAGAACAATGATAAGCGGAAATTCTTCCCTTTTGCCCAAGAGAGAGGAAGAAATATTTCATTCTGCACGCTTCCAACTTCGTCTCCTCGATATACTTTTTTCAGGTGCAGCGCAAGAAGAATAGAACACATTCCGCATGTTCTTGAGAAGAAGAGACACAAATGTAATTTCCATTTGTCCACATCTTGTAGAATCTGCTTTTTCTCACAAATCTTAACACTGCATTGTTTTTTCTCCGCCACACGATGCTTAACTGCGTTTCATGGCGGAATGAAATATTCATTCCTCACCAATTGTGCTTTGGAGAAGTATAGAAATTGTTAAACTTTGACTTTGAACATATTCTCAATGGCAATATTATGATTTTGACACTGAATCAATGATGATAATAAATTATTAAGTTCAAATCTTGCATTCAATTCCAAAGAGTTAGCTTAAAACCTTCTCATGAGTAATTAAATCAAGACATTCTGGCCTTTATCTTTCGTTTGAAGCAGGAAAATGGTTTGTGATTTCAAGAAACGCACCTAAAAGAGATCCAAGAAGTGAAAGAACAACTTCAAACTGTGTTTTGAATGTTCCACAATCGAGATCTTGCTCAGAACTGCTTCCAACTCAGTGTGAAACATAATATGAAAAATCTCCAAAATTTGACACTGAATTGAACTGAAATCAAGTCACTGAACTGGGTTGCAATCTGCAAGTTAAATTGTATGCATTGAGTTGAAAGAGCGCAGAAAGTAAAGCGTCATATAATCAAGAATGCTATCCAATCTCTGCGCCGCTGTTCCATTTGAGGCGCACCTCTTGTGGCCTACAAAAGATTGTCTGAAGAAAGAAAATTTATGTGCGTGCCTCGAATGCACTTCCACAGGCCATCCGAAAGGGACGCGCAGCGTGAGAGGGCACAAAGGCATCAGGTGGATAAGTTCATCATCATCACCATCATTGCACAAATCTCTGATGGAAAGGGAAGAAAATTAATCGTGGCGTGCAATGATGATTTGGGTGGGAAAAAAAGAGTCAGACAGCTAAAAAATACTCTCACGAGATATTCATCATCAATCATTTCTTCATCATTCAACCCATTAGTTGAGATTCGAGGGCGATTTCATTATGAAATCTCTCTTCTCACCCTTCAATTTTCATTATGATTAAACACCGTCTGGAGAGCCTGAATTCAGCCCATCTCCAAAGGCAGAGACGAAGACTAAAACGATCGCATGAGAAGGAAACAAGTGATATTCGATAGTCATCCAGTGTTGAATTCCAACCAATATTGATGGTCTATAAGGTGATTACTGACGAGAACGAATATTTATTGGATTGCATACCGCAATTGCAATAAATTCATAATTTTCCACGCAATTGGACATTGAAAGGTGATTGAGAAACAAGAAAGGTTCACAAATTCATCCACAATTTCGCAATGAATGTCCGTTGAAAATGCAATTCTTAGCATTTGTTATCGATATGAATATTATTTGAGCGTGTGTGTGGAAAGTTGAGCAATATCCTGCATTCTAGCAGCATTATTAATTTGTAATTTCAACTATTTGTAATTTCTCAATTAACCCACAAACTTATAATACTTTCCTCCAAGAAATCCGCACACAAATCAGCTGTTTTAATGGCAATCTAGAGAAATCTAATGAATCTAATGCATCTTTAGCGTCACATCTCTCGCGTAATAATGTCCCAAAGTCACGAATTGCACGTGAGAAAATTGCACTCTGGCGGTGAAATCGCGTCGCAAATGACACATTGGGAAAACAATTGTACAATTTGTGACTCAATTTGCATTTTTGCACAACACCACTAAGCGTCTCTTAAGCCGAATGACTCGTACAGTTTGCTTGAGCCATCAGGGGAGAGAGAAGCGAAACGGGGCAAAGACACGAAGTGAAAGTGAGACCTTCCCACATCCGTGATCTCGCGGGCGGACTTTTTAATCGATCACACACAAGACTCTTTCAGGAGATTAGCAACCAGGGAATTCATGCTCTTGTGACTCACTTTTTTCTTTTCTCTTTCTCTCGCAAATCGTCAGCGAAAAATTGTGAAATAGGCGAATTTACGGATGTTTATGATCAATATTTATCCACTCACCATTGAATGATGCCAGAATCAGGAGGGAAAAGTATCCAAAATAGTCTCTCAACTTCATCTTTCTTCTCACTATTCACACTTTTCCTTGTTATTACTGATGATTCCTGTAGTAAATTTATTCTTCTCACTTCTCTCTCGATTTCTTGCGCCGCAATTTGCAATCTCTTCTTCTGCACTTCACATCGCACACATTTCACGGAGCGCGGCTTCTAGCCCATCTTCAGCGGGCGTCATTTGAGGGTGTGAAGAGAGCGCCAAGAAGAGGTGAAGAATTGATGAATTGCAGCGTGGAGAAACTGAAAAGAGATGCAAATGAAGACCTTCAAGCTGTCGAGCAACAAAAGTACACCAAAAGGAATCTTGATCATTTCCGCTCCAATTGTTTGAAAAATATTAAAACCACACCAGTGAAAATCACAGTACAGCACACCATAAAAATGACTTTATTGTCTCTGTCGTATTAATTACTCTCCTTCTTTTTGCAATTCACCAAGATTAAAAAGCGGCAAAGAGCAGTCAATTGACTCGCCTTTCAAATCACTTGTTAACATTTCTCAATACACAATCAACTGAATGTGTGACGCGAAAAAGTGTGTGTTTCACTGGTGGATTTAAATAATCAAAGTATCTCGCTAACAAGACTAACGGACGCGCCACTAAAATTTACAACAGCCAGATAGTGAAACACTTGCGATATAGAAGAGTTCCCAAATTGCCACTAAATAGTCATTATTAATTGGCACAATTCTGCAAATTGGCACGGAATGGCAATAAGTCGCAGATGGTGGAAATATTACTCGGCGGCTCTTCCGTTAGCTTCTTGTGAAATCTGCCTTTTGCAATTTACAGAAAATACCTGGAAGACATTTACACCAAATAATCTCTGAGCAAAGTGACCAAACGGAAGTTCCAGAGTCGCATTCCCTCACAACAAGAGCATTCTAAGCACACAGAAAACTTTCACCGCATCGTCTTCAATAGTAATAGTAACAGTGAAGATGGCAAAACACTTGAGCAAATAAATCTGTGGTTTTTTTACCCGGATTATTAAGCTGAGAGAGTCTTCAGATGCAATTAAGATAGAATCTTCTTGCACTTACGATGAATGTTTCTTCATATTTCACAATTCCAACGCAACTCTTAACTTAATTGTGCTTTTTGCACTTTCAGAATAACTAATTGAATTGAAAAAAATCAAAATTTCGCATAAAATGGGCCCGAGTTAAGTGTTAATATTCCAAGAAAGTCGATCTTCCACACCATTTCTCCAGCGAAGAACTGTTAATCATCACATGTAAACGGTATGCTTTCATTATGCAATTCAAGCCGATTTGCAAATACAGTCGCGCAAGTGTGTTGCTATTCCCATTGCTGCCACTGTGAAAGTCTTGCGCAAAGAATAATTTGAAGAATTCATCAATTGTCCGGCCCCAAGATTATTATTTTTGATAGATCGCCGCAGAGACGAGCATCTCTGCGTCTCTCGCGCTGACTAACCTAGATGAGAGAGAGATGAGAAACGGAGACGACAAGACGTTGACCCAAATTGATACCTCTCGGCATATAATACACCTAATATCCGAAAGACATCGTCAACTGCTGTGGCATTCTTTCCTTCGCGCCCGTTCCTCCGCCTCGCCAGCCGCCTTTCTTCGCCACACACACACTCTGCGTCTCGTCCGGCAACTGTTCAGCAGCACTCCTCGCCAACGAAAACGGCCAAGATGCGCGCACACCAGTTCTTGGTCACTTCTTATTCCACTTTTTCGTCTGCGCGCACTCTCTCATTGCCACCCAAATAATGCCTGATCCACTCTTCGGCCCTTCCTTGGCCCTGCTTTTCGCCCTCTTCCGATCACAGGTGAATGCTCAACACAAGACTCTCCGCTGCGCATTAACGCTTCCTCTCTTCTTTCACCATCCGAAAATATATTCACACAGCGCTTTTTTCTTCTTCTCAATATCCACGCGGAGAAATGGCACAGATCCACTTGCAGATTCTCTTGACACGTATTCACACACAACTGATTTCACTGCAACATCCAGCATACATTCGCGAAATAATAAAATTTCACATCAAAATCTTCCATCCGCCTTCTCTTCACTTCTTTCTCTCTCCTCTCTCTCTCTCTCTCTCTGCACACTCACTCCTCAACTGTGGACACGGAAGACGAGCGCACGTCCGCAGCGAAAGACATCAGCAACAGAACTGAAAACGGTGTCTAAATTCCAATGCCGCGAGAGCTCCAAGTTTCCAATTTTCATCCAACACTCCAAGAAGCTCTCTCGACTTTCTGCCTTGTGGACTTCTGCACATGTGTTCGTGCTGCGCACCTGCCATCCAAGAGCGCAGCAGCGCAAGTGCGGTGTTAAGAATGGCCCAAGAACCATAAATCATGGGCAATATTTTGACTACTTCATCAGGTACGAAATACGAGAAATTCTCAACTCCAGGGACTCAAAATGCAGAAAATCTACCTGAATGGTGTTTTAATGAAGTTTGTTAACTTTATAATGAAAACAGTATTGCATTAACTGGCTTTGGTTTGAGAAATGAGTAGTAAATTTAATTGGCTTTCACTTGATGTCCAATGCTTGTATCGCACTTTAGCACGGAAGGCGCCTCGATATTGCAAATTCTTTTCAGACCGCAAATTGTTGAATGCGAAAAGGCCCAAAAATACAAGAAAATCATCGCGATATCAAGTAGGCAATTGAGAAACAGGTTCCCCACTCACCACTCGTTGAAGTCCATCAGCGCCTCTCCTGGAAAGTGTGCTGCGCGCGGAAGTGCAGCCGGCGGGGCGAAAGTGGGCCAACTGCAGCCCGCATGGAGTGTTCCTGCTCCCAATTCCCTGATAACGCCATTGCCACGCACAAATGGAAAGTGATACGCGCTTTTATGTGTCGCTCTCGCTGCTCGAGTAGTCGCCAACGAGACTCTTGGGCTTCTTCTCGCACTCCGGCGAGACTTCCGTGGCGGCAGGACGCTTCCTGATGCCCAGATCCGTGGGCAGGAGTCTCTTGCTGAGGAGCCTCTCTGCCCGGATGCCGCCGAAGGAGAGAATGTTGCTTCCTGGCAGAGATGGTTGATTTATGGCGCTCTGGCGCCGCTCTGCTGCCTCTTCTTCGGAAGATTTCACAGACTGGAGACTCATGAGGGACGCCATGTGCCGATCCTCCTCGTTCTCAGGCACCAGAGCAATGTCCAGACTGGATTTGTCCAGAAGAGTCTTATCTATCTCCTCGCTGGCCTTCAATTCCTTCTTCTTCGAGCGGAATTCAGTTCGTAGACGAGAATTGGCCTCATAAGGATCCCTCCAGACGTCCTCATTCCGCTCAAAGAGACGCCCCAGCACCGGCTTGGCCGCCGCCCCCGCCTCCTGATCCTTCGCCGTGTGCTCCAGCTTGAACATCGCGTCGTCGAACAGCCTCTTCTGCATCTCCTTGTCATCCGGCACGATCTGCCCATTCTGCGTTGGATCCCAGCGGTTCTCCTGTCGCCGCGCGCCCGACATGATCACATAGTCTAGGTTTCCGGGGTCCGTCTTAATCTCGAAGTGATTGTCGCAGAGATGGCACTTCATCCGGAACTGATAGACGGGCGTCGTGTAATACATGCCGACCTTCTTCTTCTCCGCATTGTACCTCACGCCCATGCCAATGTGATTCTTGCACCCTTCGCACCAGATGTTGTACGGCATCTCGAAGCGAATGATCAGGATGCCCTGGTCGAGCTTCCGGGCGCGCTCCCGGAGAGCATGTGTGCCCAGGAACTTGTTGAGTCCGCCAGCGCGCGGATCGTAATCCGGCGGATAGTACTTGTTCTGACCCTTGCGCTCACCCATTTTCCAGCTGTTCTTCCTCTGCCTTACAACGTTTTCCTGAACCAGGAAAATTCCCCGGAAAACACACTTCCTAACCACACTTCTCACTGGCGATTGTCAAACTGCACGCCACTGGCAAAGATTCAAAATCTTCAAAATATAACAGATTTTATAGCAGAATTTCAGACACTTTCGCAGCGAAGAAGAAGAAGACTGAGAAAAACAAATTACGTATATTTTCACTTGTGTATTTTCACTGGAATTTAGGGAGAAATTCTCCAAATGTCCGCCACAATGAGTGGTGCAAAGGCTGAGGAGGACGCTGGCGAGGGCAGCAGCAAGGTGAGGAATGCGAGGGAGCAGGAAATCAGGTGAAGGCTGACTGTTTTTCTTGTCTGTGCACAGGATTTCCTGGACTGGCAAGTGACAAAGCACGAGATGAAGGCTCGCGGGCAGCATCTGCTGGAGACTGGCCAGTGGGCGGACTGTCACTTCCTGCTGGGCGCGCCGTCCAACCAGGAGATCATCTCCGGACACAAACTAATCCTGGCGATGGCGTCGCCAGTGTTCGAGGCGATGTTCTTTGGCGGCCTGGCTGAGAAGAGTGACCCGATTCCCATCTGCGACGTGCAGCCGGAGGCGTTCAAGGCCCTGCTGGAGTATATTTACATGGACAGGATCCAGATCCAGACCGTGGACAAGGCGTGCGAGCTGTGCTACGCCGCCAAGAAGTACATGCTGCCCTTCGTGGTGAAGCAGTGCACGAAGTTCCTCTGGGCAGATCTGCAGCCCAGCAACGTGTGCCGGGCGTACGAGTTCGCGCGCCTCTTCGACGAGCACCAGCTCATGATGACGTGCGTCGAGATGATCTGCACGAAGACGATGGACGTGCTCCAGGATCCCAGTTTCGAGGAGGTGGAAATGAGCACGATCTTCACGATCCTGGACCAGGAGTACCTCAGCGTGGACAGCGAGCTGTCTCTCTACTACGCGATCAGTCGCTACGCCGAGAAGCACGCCGGCGAGGAGTCGCGCAGCCGCGACATCCGCGAAGCGCTGAAGCGGATCCGCTTCCTCACGCTCACGCCGCAGCAATTCGCCGAGGGACCGGGCAGGAGTTGCCTGCTGACGCAGACCGAGGCCTTCGCCATCCTGATGAACATCTCCAGTCCCAACTCCGTGTGCACGATGCCCGAGGGCTTCTCCACGAGCCGCTCCACGCGCATCCAGAATGTCGTGGTGGAATCTCCGTCACCGCAGACGATTGAGGAGTCGCCGGCTAGGCTCCTGCCCGGCTCGTCGCCGCTGGTGGACGAGATGCACGACGTGCGCAACATGATGGACACGCAACGTCACTACTGCATCCGCAACTTCCGCCACCAGACGGACTACCTCAACACCAGCGTCCTGGACTGCTCCGTCACTTTCTCCGTCAACCGCTGCATCTGCATCACAGGCGTCCAGGTGCCCACGCAGGTGCTGGGCGAGTCCAACATGCAGCGCTACCACGACGGGAGCCTGCCGGAGCGCTACTCAGAGCTGCTGTACGCGCACCTGCTGGACAGCCGCGGCTCGCGGCTCACGTACACGCACTGCACGTCCAAGGTGCGCTTCGACTGCATGCTGGAGATCTCCTTCGACCGGCCGGTGTTCATCCAGCGCTACAAGCGCTACAAGATCGGCATCGTGTTCAACAAGGTGGGCTGGTATCCCATGGCCGAGTGCCAGCCCACGAAGGTCTGCCAGGACGTGACGTTCACGTTCGGCGTGGGGATGCCCAACGAGTCCGTGCGCGACGGCCTGATCAGAGCCATCGTGTTTGCCTTCACGCGCGAAGGCGTGTCCTTCACCTAACCATGTATTATATGCACGTATTTATCGTTGATTTCGGAGCTTTTGAGTGGAAATAAACTGAAGATTGATTAACATTGTAATCATATTTTTCGAGAAAATGTCCTTTTGAAATGAACCTTTTGCACTACAAGATTTTTAAAAAATTGTTTCTCGTAAATTTAAATATATTTTATTACACAAGATTGTTTTATACAAGATAAAAGTCCGTGCTAAACAGTGGTGATTGATGAGTTGCGAGATACTTTCTCCTTGTTCTCCTTATCATCGTAGAGATTATCGAGAGTTTGCATCATTTTAGTCTTCTCAATGGTGCAATATTTGATCTTGCCATTCTCTGGCCTCTCCTCAACAGCCTTCTTCCGCCGCCACTCTTCGTGCTCTTGCTTGCACTCGCACACGAGTGCCAGACACATGAGGCAGGCGATCTGCAAAGTGCAGAGCTATAACTCTGGCGCCCCTTTCCTTCTAGCTCTCTTTTGCCTTACCAGAACCACAATGCAGAGAATAACGGTCGGGAAGGTGAAGAATTTGCACGCTTCGTCCATTTTCTTAGACTACTTCAAGTGCTCTCAAATTTACAAAAGGGGCGGAAAATGCAAGATTTCTCTGTTCCTCGCCTCATATTATTATCTTATCTCTGATAAGGCGGAATATTCGTAAAATAGCTACAAAACTTTTATTTTATTGTCTGCAAAGTTGACGACAGTGCTTTATGTGCGTCTCTCGATGCGAAAAGTGTATCTCAAGTTCTCAATGATAAAATGTATAAAATCATTCGAAAGGAATATTTAACAGAAGTTAAAGTTATAAGGAAAATTATCATTACACCAACAAGTTGAGAGATATAAAACAGATCTGCATATTTACATGGCATTAATTAGACCTCTTTAGAACCTTTGGGCTATTTCTCTCTCTCATGAATACTTTAACTGCGCGCGCGCTTTTTTGGCATCAATTCTACTCGATGCGCACATTCCTCTTCCGCCGCTTAAACTCCTTCATCACGAGGCGCACGAGCAGCAGCAGCGCCACAACGTCGGAGATCATGAGCATGTAAAAGACATTCTCCCAGCCGGACGTCGACACCAAGCCGGCCAGAAGCGGCCCCACGGCGGCGCCTATGGAACCCGTGCCATCGATGATGGCCGTGACAGTGGCCAGCGCCTTCGAGTTGCCCTCCAGGCAGCTGTGCTGCCCCAGCTCTGCGCTCACGGACGTCGTGATGAGCGCATAGGGTCCATTCACCAGGATGCCCACCACGAAGAGCAGCAAGATGTTCACGGGCAGCGACAGCGTGCCCCAGTGCTGATACACGAGCAGCTGTGGAGGCAAAAAGAGGCAGATTAGCAAAGGAATCTCAACGGTTTTTCGCATGATGAAACACACAAACTTGGTCATCACAAAAAACTTCTGGGTCAGCGTGAAAGTTCGTACGACTTTCATTTGACGTTTCACTACGAGTTCTCTATAGTTAATTGAGCAAAAGATGCCCCGCCCACTTAATTGCCACGCCCATTACTTTTGCACTAACTGAAGAGCAAGACAATTAAACAAATTTTAAGATTCGTGAATGTAAATTTGCATATGAGCAAAAACAATTAAATAAAAAAATACTTTAGGCGTTTCGTAAACTTTATACAATCTTTTTATTTTCCTTTATGGTCCTACAAGTCTAATTTTGTATCATTTGTGACTCACGGAATAAGAGACAGATATCTTGAGTATTTGCAAAGATCTTACTAAGCATATTTGTTCAAGCATTTCTTCCTCAAATGTGATCAACACCATTGCAAATGATAAGACAGAAGTGTTTCACATTGTCGATTAAATTGAAACAGAAAACTGCACTTTCTCCATCATTATCGCACACAATAAACGTGCAGTGGATCAACATGAAAACATCTTCCTTATCAGAGAAGCAGAGAAATTGGCACGAACTTCCAGCGCAACTCATTGGCCAGAGAACGTGAATCTGGCCGCATTTTTGTCTGCTGCGCGCGAGTTCAGCCGATAAGGCGACTGCCCGTGTCAACAGAGATAACTCACCATCGGCACAGCCACGGCCAGCATCCCCGAGCAAGTGCTGGCGGGCATGTTGGTGTAGTCCGAGAGAATGCCCGCCGCGATGGCGCCAATGATGCCGCCCACGTCGAACAGCGTGGACAGGTCGGCGCTCAACTCGGCGCCCAGCGTCGTCGAGGACTGGATGTAGAGCGGCAGCCAGTACAGGAATGTGTAGCTCACGAGCTTGGAGAAGAAGAGGCAGAGCGAGAATTCGACGACGCCGGGAATTCGCAGCGCGCCACCGAAGCCGATGGCCTCATGATTGGCGGCCAGCGCAGGAGCGCCGCCCAGCATCGGACTGCGCTCATTCGCTCTCATGGTAACTTCCTGGCGAAGCAGAGAAAAAGTGCGGCAATTAGCGTCAACATCACACACGATGGGTGTTTTAGTGACAAATATTTGTCTCTTGGGCCATCTTTAACATGATTTTCACACGTGAATGCTTATCTTCATGTGCTGGTCACGACTGGACTGCGTTTCTCAAGACGCACCAGCAAGTCTGCCCACAGATTGTCTATCGCGCGACCTTAAATCGCACAGTATAACGTCTTCTGGTCCTTTTTTGCCCGACAATTGATAAGGTTTTTTCCTCTAACGCTCTGCAGAGATTACATTTTGGAGGCAGGCGACTCATTTGCTAATTTTAACAAATGGGGTAAAGCGAATGGAATTTCCTAATCATCTGATTTTACGCCAAAAAAAACTGCCTTTTTGCTCAAGAATCTCTCGAATCTCCAGAGAATTGTCTGTGATCACAAGGATGTTTCACTGTTTCCCTACACAGGATTATAGTAAGGCGCTGATTAAGGCCCTAACAAATCCATAAAGAATCTCGATATTTGTTATGCGATTTAATTTTCAGCAGAATTTTATAAAATATGAATTTCAACCCTCAAAAATGAGATTTAATAAAAAAAAACCTGTTAAAATTTTTCTACATAATGATTTTGTATAAGAAATTAAGTAGTTTTCACATTGCTTATCTTATTATCTTTCAAATATCACGGAAATAAATTCAGAATTTGACGTTTTATTTAGTACTCATGTCTTATAAGATATGAATGGAATGCAAAGTTGAATTGAGTCGTTAATCTCTAATCTCTGTCAACCTCAGTTGACCCGTATTTTAAGTACATCTCCACTCTAAATTACTTCCATTTGCTACAGTTATTCCACAAAGAAAGAAAACACTGATCATGAACTTGATTCAGTCCAAAACCAATCAAATCACACGAATTACACCCTCAGAATGGCCATAAATCGATTAGTTGACGCCTCAAATTGGCGGCAATTGATCTGGAAAGAGGTCAATCTATCGAGATGTTCATGCACTTACAGTGTTAATACTGCCTCTAAGTGGTCTCACGACGTTTCCACTGACCTCCTGATGGCGGGCAAAAGAGAGAAATAACACACTGTTAGTGATCATGCAGAGAAAGGTGAAGAAGTTCATGCTGGTGCAAATATTGTTAATCAACACGCGCGATAAGAGCAAATCTCTACGCTTACCTGCTCGCCAACGATGATGTCCGTGTCGTCTGGCTCGGAGTCGTCCGTGCTGTCATTGCTCTCCACCCGCGAGTACTGATCCCTGCGCCGCTCCGCGTGGCGCTCTGTGCAGCCAACGCTGTCCGGCGAGTCCACGAGGAAGAGGAAGAGGATGAAGCCGCACACGCCCATGATCAGGCCGGGCACGATGAATGAGCGCGACCAGTCGCTCTCCACGTAATTGGCGGCAATGAGCGAGCCCAGGATGTTGCCGATGCTCGTGTGGCTGTTCCAGATGCCGAAGATCAAGCCGCGCTTGGACTTGCCGAACCATCTGCCCACCACCGTCACCACGCCCGGCCAGCCCGTGGTCTGGAAGATGCCCGCCATGGCCTGCACGAACACGAAGTACGCCATCGAGTGCACGCCGTACGTCTTGGCCACGCCGAACAGATAGCAGAAGATGCCCGAGAAGAGCATGCCGAACGTGAGGAAGTAGCGCAGCGACACGCGCTCCGCGATGAAGCCGCTGGCGAACATCGCGGCGGCGTAGCAGAAGAGGAAGGCCGAGTCCAGCGTGCCGAACAGGGCGGACGCATTGGGGCCGTCGAAGGGCGGATAGTCGCACCAGGTGCTGTTGTCGATGGCATCACTGAGCAGGACGCCCTTGGGCAGCGCCACAGTCGAGCAGTTGCGGTGCAGGACGGACTTCACCACCGAGATGGGCTTCCTGGTCAAGTGGTAGCAGCAGTAGGCGATGTAGGTCAGCGCCAGGACGCTGAATCTGAAGCTGAAGGAGGAGAGAAGCAGTTCAGTGCACCGTCATTATCGCATTAAGCCTCAATTGCCAATCACTTTGCGCTCGTTCGGGGTGCGAAAGAGCGTGAAAAGGCAAGTGAAAAAGGCATAAAGTGACATAATTAGAATTCACACTGATAACAAATAATATTTTCGCTGATTTTCACGGTTTTTCCACAGCTTTTTTTCTATATAGTCAGCAGAAAGTTCCTCTTGGTGTGACTTTCATGACTTTAGAGGCCTTTTATCATAGTTTTAAGCCCATCAATTGAAGCGATGAGAAGATTTTGCCTCACTTGAAATAATTTGGAATCTTTGGAACACATTTAATACCGAATTGCGACAAAAACTCTCTTTAAATAGCAGGAAAAATGCCTTTGACTCAACCGACAATTTGCTCAAATTTGTTCTATAAATTTTCCCGGATTGGAAAGCTTAATAAAATATCTATTAATTTGCACTTATTATGTATTCAGAACAGACTCAATTTCTAGTCACTTTTAAAAGCCAGTTAAAAGGTCTTTAAATCCTTGTTTCCCGCAACTTTGGGACCTTTCGGTTGTTTCTCATTTTCTCCGCTGGCGCTTTCAAGGACGCGAAATTCAGACACGAAGTTTCTCCAAATTTCGGCCTCTTTTTGACTCTGAACCTCTGCCGAGGTCGCATCTTTGGCATCTTCTGCCAGCAAAAACACACCGATTTCTCGTGCAACTTTGGAGGAAGCTGTGAATTCCTGATCAGGAGAATGCGGCGCAGAAGCAGACGAAAATATTGTGAGCAGTGAAGCAGATGCGAAGATATTGGACTGTGTTTATGGCAAACAGTGGTTAAACACTTGTTAAAACCCATTTAAGCAAAAATGTTGTTTGCTCAATAAATGAGGATGGAAATAACACACATCTCTTTCACTAATGCAGAGGGATTACGTAAGAAAAGATGAGCTTTCGCGGGCATTCACTTCGTCCGGGAATCCAATTGTTCCCTCCGCCAGAGCGACAATCACAGCCAATAGAGCTGGTGAGTCAGCCGCGCGCGCTTTCCGGGCAAAAAAGTGTCGACAAGGCAAGCGAGAAACTCACCAGAGGGGCCTGTTGATCCGGAGGCGCGGGCAGAGGTGTGCGCTGAGGAACTGCAGGCTCCGCACGCCGATCGGCACGTCTGGATTGCTCATTCTGCACCGTCGCCAGGCAAATCTCATGAACGAGCACTGACTCCACGCGTGTCTTCCTCGCACTCCAATAAATCTCCGGACTTGGCAGAAATCCGCTGTGCAGAGGCGATAAACGCGAGGCTACCTGGCCATTGTTGGGCGCTTCGCTGGCGTTTTATCTCTGGCACACAAAGGAAATGCACACAATCAGCACTCGCAGCGCTCTTCTTGGCCACAGGCGCGCTGGATGATATCACTTCTCACGCTCCGCGCTGAGCTGTGAAGATGGAATAAAGGGAAGTATGCAAACGGGCCACAAGTCTCTCTGTTTTCTCTCGAGTGTGCGACACCCGAAAAAAACACGCACAACGAAATGACAGCGCGTCAAACTCGCCGTGCCATAATTTTTGAATGCAGAAGACTGTTATTCTGTGTCGAGCCTTGTGTGGAGCATCAAATTTGTTAAATTGCTCACTACAAGAGACATTAGAAATCTGGTTTAGGTATAGAAAACACCTTTAGCATGAACTCTTGTGATGGTTTATTTCTAAAACAACAGTAGAGGCAAAATATTGGAATTTTTTTCGCGAGTCGAGACAATTTTACTTGACTTGCATGCAAGTACGCCAGAATAAACTGAACGAAACGTCATGTTCGTACTTTGTTTTGGCTTTTGTGCAACAGAAAACAACAGGACCAATGAATAGGGTAATTTATTCGCTTTTCTTCTGATTTTCCTCAAGAATTATCCTAATCCAGTGATTCCTCAATGCCTGATGTGATAATCTACGATATATATGCCATTCGCATGTTCCTAATTCCACAGATAAAGCTGGACAAGGATTTTGAGGCTGCGAAGCGGGAGCTTCTTGAGGGCAAATTCCTGGAATACGACGAAGAGTGGAAGAACTTATTCTCCTGGATGCGGGAGAATATAACACAGGAGAATTACGTGAGTCCTTCGATGTGGGAGAATGCAAACAACAGACGCTTTGATGGGGAAATTGAGGACATCGAAAAGGATTTTCCGGGAATTTTCGAGGTTACGGAAGACGATGTGGCAAAAGCTGAGAAACAGCTGGAAGCTCTGCAAATAGCGGAAAAAGAGTATCGAGAGCAGAGTGCAGAGATGGGGTGAGTAGCTGAAGTCTCTTGGCGATCGCCTGACATCATTTTGGGCGTTGTTCAATCGACAGGAACATCCTAGAAATGGTGAATGAGGAGCTCCGGGAGTTGTCGAAGGAATCAGCTGATTCTTATGCACAGTCAGAGATTTGGCGGGAGAAAGTGGAGGAATCTGAGGCTGAATTGGCTTCGCTGCTCGAGCAGAAGATTGATTGTGTGGAGAAACTCAGGAAAATGCATAAGAATCCCGATGAAACTTTGGCTGCTGCTCAGATTCCAATGGACTTGCTGAACAGGAACATGTCAATGGCCGAGAAGCGCCTGGAAACGTGCATGACGACCTTCAACACTGACGAATCCTTGGAGCTGACGCAGCAATTGTGCGGGAGGATTGAGTTCTGCGCGGAGGACAGCTTGAAGCGATATGATGAATTGCTGGAGGCGCGAATTAATGTTGCTGGACTCGAGTCTGTGATCGAGATGATTGACAATTTCCCGGAATCTTCCCTCTCGACCGAGGAAGTCAAGTGAGTGCTTGAAAAATCCCAAATAAGTGCATTTTGCAATGATATTCTGCTGGTTTTGCAGCTCTCAAATGGCGGAAATGAGCCAAAAGACTGAGATCCTCGAGATGCAGATTGAGGAATTGACCACAGAGTGTGTGGAAGGGAAGAAGCTGGAGCTGACGAGGGAGAAGCGCGAAATTTTCGCGAACATCCAGGAGATAAAGCTCCAGAGAGCGCAGAATCGTATGGAGAGATTGAAGGAAGTTGACCAGTTCACGGGAAAGTTCATCAATCTTGCCGAATTCGTGTGGATCCTGAATCAGGTGGACAGCAAGAAGATGAAGCACTTCCTTTCGATTCTTAGCAAGGAGGAGAAGTCCTCGATGCAGGACTTTGTGTGGAACATCGACGAAGAAAGGCTGGAATCTGTGGTGTCCAACTTCAGCTTCCAGCCTCAGAAGACAACTGTCGAGTTCATCCTGAATCCCAATAGGAATGTTCAGCTGATGGAGAGTCTCTCTAACTTCCGCCAAATTGAGTTGTCACTCAAGCCTCTGATCCTTGGCCCAGGAAACACTCTTGTTCGGATGTCACCACAAACTTCCCATCAACTCTACTTCCTGGACAATCTAGCGAAGCAGAATGAGGCACAGCTCAAGCAGTTGAAGGAGAGATTCATCAAGGAGTATCTCGAGCCGAAGGTGAGACAGAAGAACGTCTTCTGGATGATGAGAGTCACTCAATTTCATGGATTTTTATTTCGTTTTCAGGGATCCAACAAACTCTGGGCTTATCGTCGCGCTTTGTGGATTTGGTTCCTCACACAGCCCAAGAATGTCATCAAAGCGATCGAGTGTGCCTCCAAGGAGCCTTCTCAGAAGTCTAAGATGAAGGGTCTTCCTGGAATCCGGAATAAGCAGTGAATAAAGCAGATGTGAGGTTACGTTTTGTGTGTTTTTGGCGGGAGTTTTTTACCTGGTGTTTTCTTCGTTGAGTTTGACGATGGCGAATCAGGTGAACTGTCAAAGAGTGATTGGGCTTTTTGCTGCTCTGTCCAGGAAATCTCTCGACATCCGTGCTCAGCAGCCTGAGATTCTCTTTCGATCGTTAGCAAGACCATTTTCTGCAGCTCCCGGAACACTTGGCGGCGCAGGAGAGCGAGTGCAATATGCCTGTTGGCGGACAGCCGCGGATTTAGGCGTGCCGACGAGATGGACTACCATTACGACACATTCCGGGGGCGCGCGTGGGAGCCCGACCACCACAACCGCTGCTGCAACGGCAGATTCTGGTTCGTGCGTGACGTGTGCGGCATCATCTGTGCCATCCTCACGTGGCTGCTCATCTTGTATGCCGAATTTGTGGTGATGACGGTGATCCTGCTGCCGAGCCCCTATCCCATCTACAGCATCGTCAACATGATCATCTTCAACGCCCTGGCCTTCCTGGCCATCGCCTCCCACCTCAGGACGATGTTCACGGATCCCGTGAGTCCCAAGACATTGCGCTTCCCGCGGAGGGCAGATTTTCACGCCTTGAGTGTCGCTTTCAGGGCTCCGTGCCGAAGGGCAACGCCTCCGAGAAGGCGATCCAGCAGATGGGGCTGCGCGAGGGCGAAGTCTTCTTCAAGTGCGCCAAGTGCTGCAGCATCAAGCCGGACAGGGCGCATCATTGCTCAGTGTGTCGCGTTTGTGGTGAGTTTCTTCCGTCTTTTCGGTGATTTTCTCACGCCGGAAGCCCTAAAACGCTCCCTTTCCTTCCCGACAGTTCGCAAAATGGATCATCACTGTCCGTGGGTGAATTCTTGCATAGGTGAGAACACTTCTTGGGCTTCTCTCTATCCCTGTAACTAATCATCTCTGGTTTATTTACTTGTTTTCTTGCAGGAGAAAACAATCAGAAGTTTTTCGTGCTTTTCACGGTGAGTGTTTATCGACAGGGAGACCTCAATTTGCGCATAAAAAAAACCTCTTTTCCACGTTGATAAGAGAGCGGCTGGAATGTTGTGATGTGATAAGCAGTGATAAGGGATCATTTGCAGCTGTGATTGGCCTCATTTCCATAATTTCAGCTCTACATTGCTGTCATCTCTGCCCACGCGATCTTCCTGACCGTGAATCAGTTCGCTTACTGCATCCGGACGGAGTGGAGGAACTGCTCCAATTACTCCCCACCTGCCACTGTGATCTTCCTGCTCTTTCTCACCTTCGAGGCGCTCCTCTTTGCCGTCTTCACGATGATCATGCTCGGAACCCAACTGAATGCGATCTGGAATGACGAGACGGTCTGTGCGATTGCGTCTTGCTTCTCCTTGCTCTTGCTCTTCTAACACTTCTCTCTCCACTCTTCTGCAGGGCATCGAGCAGCTGAAGAAAGAGGAGGCGCGCTGGGTGAAGAAGTCGCGGTGGAAAAACATCCAGACGGTCTTTGGGCGTTTCTCCATCGCCTGGTTTTCGCCATTCACGCGTCCTCTGCTCTCGAAGAAGCACGAGAACTACTACTATTCCGTGTAGGAGGATCACAAGAGCGAACACCAAGCGTTCCTGGACAATTCCAGCAGCAGAAAGTGGAGCAAAGACCTTGGCGAAGTTGGATTTCTACGGTGTGCAAGACAATGGACAGCCGCGAATCGCGGCCCGCGATGCGTTGAGAATCACACGTATATTTATTAATTTATTATGATTTCGCATAAGAGTATTTGAACAGTTGCTCGTGAGGAAATCCTCGAGCAGGAATGACAGTGACGTACTTAAGAGTATCCTTCAGAAGGCAGTTTTTAAGTAGTTTTTATACAGTGGAAAGAAGCATACAAAGCGCAGTGAGAAATGATTGCATGTTATTTCATAAGGTGTTAAGAAGAGCTGAAGAACAGAGAATTGTATGAAAATAGAGTGAAAAGTATAATTATAATAATTTTGACTATCAGAATAAAATAGTGATTTAGAGGATTTATTCGTTTGATAAATTGCTTTTTCTCATGTTACAGGAAAAAGCACACGCTTCAATATTTAGCATTTTACTTGGATTTTGTATTTCTTTGCTCATGATTTTCCTTTCGCTTTATATATTCAGGCTCCGAAGATGGCTCCCTCTGCAGGAATTCACTCTTTTCTAGCAGCGATGATAACAAATGTGTCCTCAGTTTCGAGCACAATTTCTACTACTTTCCGCAAGAAGGTGTATCAATAGCTAAAGAGAAATGGCAGGAGATTTGAATATAACAAATTTATAACAATTGATTCAGCAAAATTATTTTTATTCTCTTTACTCTGTACAAAACGACGGAATCATAATATGAAGTTTAGAGAGACTGCTTGTTCACAGAAGAGCTCATCAATCTGCGTGAATGTTTTAAGAATTGCTCGCGCGCGTCAACACTAACAGCGCCATCTACTGTGTAATTTCTTTCAAAAGCATAGTTCTAACGGAAGTGATAAGAAATACGAAAGAAATTCCTTCAAAATCACTCTTATATTCTACTATTATTAATTAATATACATTTTCCATCAGTTTCTTCTCTGCTGCAAACTTCTTGTAGATCCAATTGCAGCATTTGGCACTCGTGGCCACAAACTGCTACTGACGCGCGCACATTGAAGTGAGAGAAAATGCAAATCTGCGCTGCTCTAGGGTATGATGTTGGGCTCCTGCGGTGCGCCCGTCGCGTACTTGGGCTTGCACACGCAGCCACTCTCCACCAGCACGTAGTCCTGCCCCGTGAGTGTGACAGGGCCCAGCGGAATGACGAGGAACAGGTAGGGCACATAGGTTTGTGTGCATTCACCGCGTACCACGTCGCATTCCGATGACCTGCAAATGGACGTGCAATTAGGCGGCATTTTTGCACTTCCCGCACATCTCTCTCTCTCTCCGCGATACTCACTCGCACACCTCGAAGACGACCTGTTGCAGCAGGTCAGGGAATTTCTGGACGATCGTCACCGGCTGGCCAGACGTCAGGCTGACGCCGTACATGGGCGCTGTGGTGTTGTACCTCGTCTTGCACAATCTCGCTGGCGTTCCGCTGCACTGGCCATCGACGCTCGCCGCGGGATGATTTACAGATCGACCTGGATTGCGGACAAGAGAGACGATTAGATTGCTTCTTTCCACTCTCACTCGCCAAATGGGAAATGCCCATCAATTCGCCACTGCGCGGCTGAGCGACTGCCCGCCGGCAAGCGACGCACTTCCACGGCGCGAGTGTTTTATGTGCGCGGCCAGCAATGCCGATGGTACTCTTGATGCAGATGACATAAAAAGAGGAGCGCATATTTTGTGCGCCGTTTGGAAGTAGAAGAAGACGAAAGAGAACAGTGAAGAATCAATGGCACATTTGTTATGCTAATACATATATAGGAGATCTTCTTATGTTATATGTACGTGCCTATAACACAAATATGTGCACGGAACGGTAAAATCCGAGAACAAGTTTCTTGAGCTGCGCGCGGTCTTCTCCACTTCCCACCTCGCCATCGGCTGGAAAATCTTATCTATTGTCTCTCGATGTTCTCCTCTTCGTGGTGCGCACAACTTCATCGAAGACAATCGACATGATGAGGAGGATTAATTGATCTAACCGTTCCATTGCGAAAAAACCGCTGTTCGATTTACCTTCGCGCGGATCTTAATTGCAGAAAAGTGTGTGCTGGAAAAGTGCGTTCAGCGGCCAACCAAAGGCATCAATGAAGATCTCAATGTTCCCAATTTTCGCCTTAGATCAAATTATCCCTTAACGGTTCTCTTAATACATCTCTTTCCCAAAAGTAGACACTAATAGAGCCAAAATTGCAGCGAATTTGGTGCGAGAATTGAAGACAATTTGGTATTGTTCGCATTGGCGTTCTTGAAAATCTTTCCTCTCACCGCTTCTTCTCTCACATCTTCTTCATTTTTCCCCCCTCGAAGCGCGACAGTGAAACGGAGAATATATTATTTACAAATTTCATTCTTCCACTCTCGCGAAGACTCTCAATTGGATTGCACACACGCGGTGCGTGTGGGTGGAAACAAAGAGAGGAGTCAATTAATTTGTCTGCCCGAAGAGCCACAATGCCTCACATTTCGTGATTGAATTCCCAATAAAATCACATTCAATTGATAATTGAAACATTAAAGGAAACCCACCTCAATTCTCACGCATGTCACGTCAAACCTACTTTCTCAAATATTTTGACGATCTTCACCCGCCGCTCTTCTGAATTCCTCTCTCATTCCGTTCAATTGGGGGGAAAATCATTGGAAAATGCTGCAGCAGAAGCAAAACTCTCTTGACTTTAAGACCATCAGAGTGAAAGAGATGATTTCTTAGATGATATTATATTCTAGTATTGAAAATGATGATGAATAGTGAATTCCGAGTCACAAATTAACGAATTTGATCGACAATAAAATTAAATTAAGCCAGAAACATCAGTTTTCTTTAAGTTTGAAAATAGATTAATGTAAATTTATTATTGTTCAATTCAGAGTCTTGAATTGCATAAATAATTGTGAAATCATAAGAAAAATTGGGATAAAACCATGCAAATATTGAGAAAAACCTGATTTAAACATTGGCTGATCGACACTCAGTCAATCCTAATCGTTTCAGTTATTTATTCTTTAAGAAAAAGCCACTTAGAACAGACCTTTTCTCTTTCACGATATGTTCCAATGAGAGTCCAAAGTGGCCCAAAAAGATCAAGTGAAGAGTTGTTTTGCGAAACGCAGCAGAGTTGATTCTAAATGTCGAAAGTAGGGAATATAAAAGAAATGCGAGCCATTGAGTGAGAGTGTGCCTATTTCTGCGCAAAGTACTTGAATGTGAGATGAAAAAAAAACAACACAAACATCTTTATGATTCACTCCAAAGGTGGAAGGAAACTGGAAAATGGGGTTTACTCTCTTTCCTCAATTGCGCTCTCACAATGGGTCGCGCGAGGGTCCAGTTTGAGGAATCCAGTCTCAGCGTGCGCGTGTGAAAAGTCGCAAGAATGTTTTCTTTTCCAGCTAAAGAGGCGCGCGCGCGCACACTGGGAAGCGCATCTCGCGTTTAGCGGCGGAAAGTGTGCTATTGGGGCATTGCGAGCTAGAGAACGGGCGCACAGAACGCAAGGTGAAGTCTTACCGAATCTGCTTCCTGGTGCATCTGCGCCGTCCGCGTTGGCCGTGCTGTAGGCCCTGAGGAGGGCGGAGCGCGTGGCGAGCGGGTCCAGCGTGGGCAGCTGGCTGTGTCTACCGCGCCTCGACGATCCGCCGGCACTCCAGCTGGCGAACGTCCGTGCTACGGCTGCGCTGCACAGTGGGTGACCACCGAGAAAGACATATAGCCAACAGTCACAATCATGATAAATGCCCGCGCGATCCGCAACGGTCGCGACAAATTTACGATCTTCTCACATTCCGGCATTAGCGCCGATGTGCAAAACGACTCGTAGCCGTTGCCGATCAGATATCAATCCCATTTCAATAAATAGACACAAATAAATGAGATTTCGAACACTTTCTCGCGCCAATCATAAGTCACAGAAGCTGAATTTGCTCCACGTGTTCTTGTTTCAGGAAATGCGAGCCGCCAAATCTAAGAATTACCGTTTCTACGCAACTGTGTTAAATTTTCGATCGAGGCTGCAATTTTCTCTTCCACTAAAACTTCACTCTCTACGGACTTGCTGCTGTGCCTAAATAGGCGCAGATATTTCTCAAAAACACGATCTTTTGAGTCAAAAATGCGCGGCAATCAAAGCGTTTATTGTTTTCTGTCCAAAGTGTATTAATTGAAAAAAATCTTAAATCATCCTCGTTTTTGCTGATTTTTGGATAAATTCGCAGTAAAACTGAGGAATGTGAAAAGTGTGTTTTAGTAAAATCAAACAGTCTTTGGTATTCTGAGTCACAAATGTAAAGAAATTATTCCAATTTGCTTTCTTTGATCAATCTGGCTCTAAATTTTAAGCACGAACACGAAAGATATTTGCAGTAATTTTGTTTTATCATAGATTTACTAATTATTTACTTGTTTTCTTTTATAATTTTGACAAATTTCCCTTCTCTTACACAATAGCAAATCGCTTTAAACACTCTAATACTGTTTTAGTAAGAATAGCGCGGACTATTTTTTCTTCCTATTAATTTGGAATGTTAAACTTTAAAATTTTGAGTATTTAACACATCTCAGTTTTAGTGGGAATTGACACATTTATCAAGACAACTCTCATAAACTCAAAGAAAACTTCTACTTTTTATCGCTCTTAAAGTGCACTGTAATGATAATAGTTGAGCTTATTTTTCAAGACTTCGCTGAAAGCCAAACCGAGGCACTTGCGAAGTGAATTTGAGGTTCGCCTCACCTGGGATAGGGCGCACTGTTGGGGCCTAGGCAGTCGGGGCTGTCTGTCAAGGCATCGCCCGAGATGTACTTGAGTCCGCCTCCGCTGGAGCACTTTTCCTGCCCGAGAGAGCCCGGCCACAGCTGCTGAACGGCCTCTGTATACTTGTAGTGTGTGACGACAAAGAGGACGGCGAAGATCTGCGGCCAAGAAGAATATGGTTACTGGATGTGACGACACTTTCGCGTGTCTGTGAGTCATCTTCTCCCAAATAGCGGTTCTTCATCTTCTCACGCGCGATATTTGTGTGGCTCGCCAATTTTTTCCCCGTGCTCGTGATCCGGTGTTGTGGCCTTCTTGGCCTAAGAAGACTCTCTTCGCCAATGAATGACTGCGCCGAGTCATTGCCCTTCAATTTGGTGGAGTCTTTAGCACTTCAGCGCGTACTTATTGAGAGAGGCAGTGAGCGCAGGAATGTCTTGTGCACTTGCACTCGCTCTGCGCCATCCTTGCTCAATTCGCTGCTGACCCTGTGACCGCTCACCGTCGAGGAAGAGCAAATCCGTGAACAGCTGCGAGCACTGATTGACCTCCTTTTTGCCATTGGCACGAAGGGAAAATTGCCATCGACTATTTGGCACATGAGAATTTCATTGGGAGCGATGAGATTCTATTCATTGTCAGATTGCGGGATTACAGAGAATGAATAGTTATTCTTCTCCTCTTTCACTGACTTCTTGCTACGAATCGGGATCAATTCAACACCATTTTGGCGCGGCGATAAAGGACGGATTGGATGCGACGCGAGAATTACTTTCCCTTTCTTGCGAAGACGTCGTCTTCGCCAGGAATTCGCGGCTCACTGTTAATCCTGAGGGCGCACTTTGGGGGTCTGGGGAAAAGGTAAAGAGTCACACGCATTCAGTGTGTGTTTTGGGCGAGAGAGCAGAGATGGGAGAGAACAGGGAGAGAATAGATGGCGAGTGAGAAACACTTTTGGTAAAGTGCTGCATTCCAGACGTCTTGCCGCGCGCTCTTGAACCTCTCTTTTGCTCACCTCGATCGTATTCCCTCCTCTTCGGCAAACACTCACACGATTGCACAAACATTAAATGGGCATCGCGCAGCCAGCGAGCTCTCGAGAACGGCGCGATCACGGCCAAGAATGAAATCACACTTCATTCACCAAATTGACCATAGAAGGCGGAGTGGAAGAAGAGCCACCGCGATCCCGAATTGGATCACGCACAGTTAAAGGCGCGCGCGCACACACACACCATCGGCCGCAGCGCGCCCCCAAGGATGGCCAGTGAGAATCTCTTGGGTTGCAAGGAGATGGGAAATGATTAGCATAAATAATTCCGCAAGCGAGAACGGTACTTCCTCATTCGAATCTCCATTCCCTATCTCTCTTCTCGCGCGCTTCGCCATCTCGCCGCCTCTCAAGGCATCTCTCAAGAGATTCGCTTAACTGGACACGACGGTCAGTGTACCAGGTAATTTGTGGTGAAGTCTCTCTAAGTACCTCTCTTTCTCGCCCGATCGTTCTTGCCCGCGCCGCACACATTCATAAATTGCCACAGAAGCAGGTGTGCGCGGAGGAACAGGAATATATATCGGGATTATTGCCTTACTTTTGCTAAATTCCTATTGCTAAAGTAATCCATTCTGCAGTTTTCGCTGCTCTGTGACGCTCTCAACTTCCTCGCTGTCTCTCGCTTGATCCTCACCGCCAAATTCCCTCACTTGCGCACACACAACACTTCACAACGTATCTTGCTCGCTCAACTGGACTCTTGCAACTGCCTAGCACTTGTTCATAATCACCCAGAGAGAGGCTGTGGAGGAGTGAACTCTTGGCTGCGTGGCGAGCTTGCGACCGACCAAAACGTCTCAGCGAGTCAGGGCACTGCGAAGTACTGACTCGCGCCTCTTCCACAGTCGCTCGAGTCTCTCTCTTCCACACCAGCGCTCGCGCGTCTCTCGCGGCCTCTTCGTGCCCACCAGCTCCACTTATGATTATCTACTCACGTCGCTACTCTGCACTCCTCCCGGTCGCTCTGGAGCACTTCCAGGAGCGCGATTTCCGCCTCTTTTCCAACCTACTTTAGCTCTGGACATCCCAAGAATAGCAGACACATTGAATTCCTCTAGCTTACATTGTTTATTACATACTATCATTATGTAAAATTCATTAAAGTTTATGCTTTTTATGTGTATTACATTTCTTGGCGTTTTCCTCCTTGCATTACAATAAAAGAAAAATTCATATAAAAATACTCTCTGCTCAAATCAACAAAAAATGCACCGATAAACTTTAATGAGAAACTCATGAAAACTATGGAAGAGTTCATTACAAAATAGCTCTTTGCAGACGGGAAAACTCCAAGAAATCCTTCCTGTCTTACAGAATAATGCTTTTTCCTTAATGCCTGAAGGGGAATATTTGTTTGCTGACTTCTCTCAATCCTCAAACCGAATCGAATTGACGGATGTATCTATCATTCCACCGCGATATGATCCTCGCTTCTTCTTCGTCTTCTCGTGCTTGAATGACTTCCCTCTGGTGAACTTGAGATCTCTGTTCGCCTTCTCGCCCCACGATCCGCGAGCGCCTTTCTGCACAATGTAAACCACATCACATACACAATTCGCATCAGTTTGAGCTCAACAATAAAAAAGAGTTGCGCGCGATGCAAAAACTCGTCAACTTAAACTATGGATAAGAATCTGAAATTCTGCAAAAATTAATTAGTCAAATGAAATCTTCTTGTTCTGCTGTCCGCCGCCGCCGAAGCCTCCGAAGGAATTCCTATTGCCCCCGCGGAATCCACCACCGCCGCCACCGCGTCCTCCGCGACCCCCGCGCCCGCCCCGGAAGCCGCCGCCGCGCCCTCCTCTGAACCCTCCGCCGCCGCCGCTGCCGTCGCCGCTGTGCACCTGCGCGTCGTCGGTCTTCGCCTCGTGGCAGCTGAAGCACTCCGTTCGGTTCTTGTAATTGGTCTTCCTGCAGCCCGTGCACGTCCAGTCACCCTCTCGCGGCGTGAAGACCTTCCTCTCGCCGCCAGCGCCGCCATTGCCGCCGGCCTCGCCGCACTTGAAGCACTGCGTGTTGCGCGCAAAGTTATTCGCCTGGCAGCTGTTGCACGTCCAATCGCCCGGCCGCTGCTGCGCTCCTCCTTGGCCGCCATCCCTGCCGAAGGACTGCCTCTTCTGGAAGCCGCCACCGGAATCGCCGCCAAACTTCTTCTTTTCATGCATTTTGTGTGTGTTCGTTTGTTTGACGAGTTTTTGCATCACCATGAAAAGAGACAGAAAAGAGAGAATTAACACAAAAAAAATTAGCACCATGTTGAACTATGAGATGGTAAAAATGCGTTTTCCTGCGATATATAGCGTGAAAGACAGTGCCATAAACAAATTGGAGACGAGATCTCGAACAAGGACATTTTTGCTGATTGCTTACACACGGTGCCAGAGTTCTTTTGTGTTAATTGATCTCTTTTTGCCTCATACTTTAGGGCACTGACCTTGGCTTCAAAGGAATTATCACTAACGCGAGCATCAACTGCCACTTCCTCCTCGCGCACCCGCCGGAAAGGCGTATTTTGGCCCCAATGCGGACTCTGATCTTCCCTCTGGAAGTTTGCGAATGTGTTTCTCAATGTGTGAATCGCAGTAAATCCATGAAAAAAATATGACACTAACCTTGTCGCCGGACTTCACGAAGTTCGAGTACTTGTCATTCGGTGTGTTGAAGCCACCCTTTCTCTTCTGGCCAGGTGTGAAGTGCTCCTCCTCCTCTTCCTCCTCTTGTGCCTTGGCCGGTGTCTTCTTTTGCTTCACAGGCAGCGCCTGAGGCTTCTCATCTTCATCAGAATCCTCCTCTTCGCTCGATTCTTCCTGCTTCTTCTTGGCGGCAGCTTTGGGCGTCTGCACAGCCACTTTCTTGGCCGGCGGCGCATCGTCATCGTCGGAATCGCTGTCGCTGGACTCATCCTTCTTGGCCGCCACCTTCGCCGCCGGCTTCTTCACCACGGGCACTGCTGCCGGTGTGTCATCATCTGAATCCTCCTCGCTCGACGATTCTTGCTTCTTCTGCGGCGCCTTCACGAGAGGCGTCTTCTTGGGCGGCTCGTCGCTGTCATCTGAATCCTCTTCTTCAGACGAAGACTCCTTCTTGGCGACTTTCTTCTGCACAGGCGCCGCCACAGCTGGCTTCTTCGCTGGCGGCGGCTCATCGTCAGACGATTCTTCCTCGCTAGAAGACTCCTTCGCCTTCTTGGCCGGTGTCACTTTGGGCGTGGGCTTCGCCTTGACCGGAGCCTTCTTCTCTTCCTCTTCATCGCTGGAATCCTCCTCGGAAGATTCCTTCTTCTTAGCAGCAGCCGTCACCTTGGCAGGTGTCTTCACGGGTGCTTTCGCGGGCTCTTCGTCACTCGAATCCTCGTCCGAGGACTCTTCTTTCTTGGCCGCCGCGACTGTCTTTGCAGGTGCCTTTGCTGGAGTAGCTTTTGCGGGTTCATCGTCACTCGAGTCTTCCTCGGATGAAGACTCTGCGGCCTTCTTGGCCGCGGCTGTGGGTGCCGGCTTGGCGGCTGGCACAGCTTTCGCTGGCACCTTCACATCCTCATCATCGCTGTCCTCTTCCTCGCTGCTGGACTCCGCCTTCTTCTGTGTTGCCTTGCCGTTGAGCTGCAAAAGGAAACACGTGTTTTTTGACGCTTCACGAGGTGGGCAAGCGATAATTTCACTCATAAGAATTTCCCGGGCGATTTCACTACGCCACTGCGTTCATCTAAGACGCATTTTGGCAGACACTCACCTTGGCAGGCTGTGGCGCTTCCGCCTCGTCGGAGTCATCAGAATCGCTGGATTCCTGGGCCTTCTTGGCGGGAGTCTTAGCGGCGGGCGTGGGTTTCCCGTTCACTTGTGGCTTCTTCGCGGAAGTGTCTTCTTCTTCGTCAGAACTGTCTTCCTCAGAACTCGAGCCTCCGCCCTTGTCCTTGCTCAACACGGCCTTCTTCGGGAAGGTCTTGGCAAAGTGCTCGACCACCTCTTCAAATTTCGCGCAGGTTTTGCCCAAATCCTTCTGCAAAGGCGGAAATAACAGCAAAATCACAAATGCGTCTCACACGTGCGTCGCCGCGTGGGCCACACGGGAATTTCACAATATCTCGAACATTAGGCCGATTCTCGCGGGGATTTCTATTGGAAATTGTGCAGGGACTTACCGCATTTGTTTTCTTCTTGAATATATTGGCAATACTCTTGTCCACACGGAATAGATACTCAAAAACAAGAGCGGAACACAAACTTCTGGAGTCAGCCATGGTCGATGATGTTGTGAAAGAAAAACGCCATGCGGTCGCTGACAAGTCGATGGAAAATCGATGAAACCCTTCAACGTGTGACGTGACATTTGCGCATGCCGATCCACGAATGTCAAATCCGCTGTCGCAGAGAGTGAGTCACAGAGCGAGAAATCTCGAGATAAAACGCGTAAAAGTGAGTTTTTAGCAAACTCTTTGATTGTTGTGCTGTGAAAATACAAAAGTCATCAAAACGGGGAACGAAATGTCTGTCTCGGCCATGGAGAGTATCCTTTTATCAAGCGAGAAAGCTCGCAAAAACACATTTGTTTTCCTTCCGTCTTGACCATGAATCACCTTTATTAGCAATTTTTGTATTTATTGCCCTGTGATTTCCCTTAACTCACACTTTTCGTGCACACAGAGCATCTCTTCAATTTGAAGTTTGCTGTCAAGGATCTGGAGCGCAATGCCAAGAAGTGCGAGAAGGAGGAGAAGCTGGAGAAGGCAAAGACAAAGAAGGCCATCCAGAAGGGAAACATGGAAGTTGCTCGGATTCACGCAGAGAATGCGATTCGACAGAAGAATCAGTCGCTGAACTACTTGCGGATGAGCGCCCGGGTGGATGCTGTGGCCAGTCGCGTCCAGTCCGCGCTCACCACCCGGAAAGTCACCAATTCCATGGCGGGAGTGGTGAAGGCCATGGACGCGGCCATGAAGGGCATGAATCTCGAGAAGATCTCCTCGCTGATGGACAAGTTCGAGCAGCAGTTCGAGGATTTGGACGTCCAGAGCTCCTACATGGAGAACACAATGTCGCAAACGACCACGACGTCTGTGCCGCAGGGCGACGTGGACTCGCTGATGCAGCAGGTGGCGGACGAGGCGGGCCTGGAGCTCAACATGGAGCTGCCCACGGGTCCGCAGGCCTCCACCATCGGCACGAGCACGCAGGTGTCCCAGGAGCAGGACGAACTCACGCAGCGCCTCGCGAGGCTCCGACAGGCCGAATAAAGGCCGGCGGGCGGCCAGGGATGCGACTCACTGCTTCTCACTGTATTACGAACATTGTTGGATTTTATTTTCTATCATATTATATTGCTAATAGTAAATATTCCATTTACTTCCTCACTTGGTTTGCTGATTCGTGGGAAGAGGATTGAAAATTACATCGATTGTGCTGTCTCTATCGTTCACCAGGTGGCGCGTGCCGGCGCGAAAAGCAAAGCCAAAATAGTTTTGTATCGAGAATGCTGGGCTCAAAATATTTTTTATTTATTGAATAATCCTGGGTCATTCCCTCTTCCCAAGTCACATAGCTGAAGGAGTGGCGAATGAGCAATGATGACGGAATTAAAGACATGCAGAGAGACCAGAGGAACGTAGCAATGAGTTTCTTTAAGAATGAATGAATGAATGATTTATTGTGACACGGGCATGTTCGCCATAAGCCACCACCAGTAGCATTATAGTTTCTTTAAGAAAATCAGAGAGAAAGAAAGGCCTAAACAACGTCCAGATCTGGCTAATCAGGGTAATATTGATACATTTCAGTGAATCTACGGCATTTTGAAAAATCCTTTATCCCCTGAATTGCAGTCAATTTGCAAAATGCCCCAAAGGTACATAAACTTGACAATGAGCCGTTCCTGTATAGCAAATGTACTTATATATTCCGCAAAGTACTCAAAATAAGGCGTGTAAATGCTTCTCAGAAAGCAGTTCATCCTCCACGATCCCTCCTTTGGCCGCCCCTTAACGGAATGGCCACTCACGGATGGCGAGAACGAGGCTTTAAATGGCAAATTGTGCAATGAACAACTCGAGTTACTTTTCCCACTGTATTTCTTGCACATTCCGCCACCCTTTTCGTCTCGGTGGCTATATTAGAATGCTCCGGAAATACACAATACACACAGTTTACTGATGCCATTTCCACGAGATTCTGTCTCACCATCATAAAAATCCCGGTCACGTAGAAATGAGTTATTGTTGACTTTCATGATTATGGGGCGCTCTTTGCCGAGGGGACGCCATTGGCTCCCTATTGGGACGCCGGGGTGGAAATATGGAGTGAATATTATTATGTTTAGAAAGAGGTTATAACATATGTTCGCAATGTGATGGCGAGACAATGATGATTGTGGTGGAGAGCCAACGTTATATTCCTCACGAGATTCACACTCAAAGTCCCCGCAAATTCCCTCGAAATAGCGCCGATGCTTTTTTCCTTTTGATTTATTCCACTTCAAGCGAAACATCGTCGAATCAGAGCAATTTGCAAGCTAATTTGTGCCCATCAAGGGGGAGATAGTGCGATCGGAAGTGATGTTCAGTTCAGTGGTGGCAATATTTTCCACTCTATCGTGATATATTCGCGGTGGACATCGAGGATTCCATCGCAGAGCGGAAGAAAGGGGGCGAAATAGAGGGAATTGTTGTGATTGTGGAGCGATGACTATCACTATTGCTCTTCCGCGTGGCGTCACAGCGTGTTTCAGTGGCAGAATGGACGAAAATAAGAAGAGTTCTGCTCCAATTTTCTCGTCCAAAATATGAAATTTTCATACAGTTGAACAGTGAAAAGCTTTTGACTCGGCCACTTTGGGCAGCTCCGTGTTATTGTGAAACAGTGTTGCACATTGAAAAGGGTGGCGCGGCTCATTTACCATTAATTCAGCATTTGATGCTCTGCACAATTCACAAGAGGAACTGCACACAGTGCTTCACATGTGAGCACAAGCAGAAAAGCTCCGCAGAAGCTCTGATGTGGTGGTTATTGATATTGCACACATCCAAGCCCAACAAAACAGCGTCGAGACCAGCCAAAGCCACCCACTCTGCGCCGCGGCCCTCGCATTATTATGCAAAATTTCGTGGAAATACATATTGGGAAATACTGTCAACTCTAATAAATATCGCAATAAAATTTTATTCCGCCACTCTTGGAATATTTGAGCAGCACGACGCTCTCAAATAGTTATGAGCTTTCGCAGCTTTCACGTGGCAAAAAGCGCCACTGTGGCACATCATATCTGCGAATGCTGGGCAAATAAAATGCAAGAGATGTGCGAGTTTGGGCATTTCCTATGAATATGTACAAATATGAAATCGCATGGCTTTTCGAACCAATTGGCGTATAGAATTAAAAACTCGCGGCTCTTCAGCTTTATTGGGTAAAATTGAAAACCGCGCTTCAAATATTGTGCAAGTATTCAATGATCTTCGTGTAATTTTCACTCTTTGAAGTATTGTTATTGACAATGTGACCCTTTTTGACTCTCACTCGTCAATATAATGAAAAAATACATTATTGGTAAAATTGTCGCTCAAAACTGTGTAAATTTCAGTATTCTTTTTTCGCAATTAATGAGCAAAATATGCATTCTGCACTTTGGTGTGGCAGACATTTGTGTATTCCTTACAATTTGTAGATGTTAAAAGCAACAAGCTGTCGTTTTGCTGTTTCAATTGGATTTCAATTAATGCAATAATTACGACTCCGTGGCAAATCACTGGCTGTGCCGGAGTCAAATTGTAATTCAAAGTTCTTGAACCCTCGCCCTGGTGAACTGATGGTCTCTCCCTCTTCAGGGACGCTTTCCTTTGCATGTGGAGAGAGACTATATATAGAGGTGGATTAATTCCTGGGAAATGGACTCAGTGATAAGAGTGATATATGCGCATATTATACAGAATCGCTTTGCGAAATTTGCTCCACAAGCAAAATCAACCCGCTTTTGGCTCTTCAATAAATTTTCAGCTCTCAATATGGTTTTTTGGGCAAAAATCCGCTGGGCTTTATTACTCAATTGATTGGATAATCCTGTGAAAGTGTTTTGCATAGCATATTGACGATTAGGCACTCGACGAAGTGTTCTTCGCTTTCTCTTGCGCGCACAATTGCGTGACGAATTCTTCGCAAAATAGGGACGAAAATCTTTGTCATAATTTAAAACAATTATCACGTTTATGACACTCCAAAGAGACATTTCACTAAGTACTCAGCTTGGATGCGTGTTGAGCAAAAGGGAACTCTTAAAATTTGCTTAATTGCCATGTCAGGAATTCCCAAGAAATTCTCCTTCAGTTTGACCCAAAATAGGCAAATATCCTGAGTCTTTTAAGACTTAAAATCCACTGCAAGGTGAATTTCTATGAATCAACCTAACTACACGATTCTTCATCCTAGATTCTATGAGCTAATGGGCTAACTCAGATCGGAATCGAGAGATCAACACTCGCCCCTTTATTGTTGGGTTATAATTGAGAAACTGATCGATGTGTTTAGTGCTCAATGGCGGGTGTTTTATGCGTATAATTGAATAATGGTAAAAATAATTATTCTCCACACAGAATTGCACGTGAGACTGAGGCGACGTGTGACAAAAAGTCAATGGAGAAGTCATAAAATCAAACGACATTTTCGCTATTTGCGCGCCCATAAAATCGACAAGCACCATCGATGGGCTTCTGTGGGGTGGAATTGGGCGAAAAGTCATATAATGTCACCGAGAGTCAGGGCGAAACCCAGCGCTGGGGTGCCATTTGGCTGATATTTCCACCATGAGATCCCTCTCGCCTCGTGTTTCCATCGCGAGGATGGGGGAGATGAAAGGGTGGCCGCGAGGGTGGCTGCAGGGCGTCCGGCAAGGGAGTGTGGTGACATAGGAAGGCGAGAGCTCATATATCACTTCCTCTGGATGGTGTGCTGCATTTTGCTGTTTAATCCACACTCTTTTCGTGCTTGAGCGAGTTTTTTTTCATGCCTGCTTTGTGCCATTCATTTGCTTTCGAGCTTTCTGGCAAAAAGCACGCCTTTCACCTGATGATTTCCAGCGACACATCCACAAACTATCGGGCGTCTGTGTGTTCTTATTAATCCAAAAGAGGTGCAAAGAGAATCATCCAGATTGGGTGACACCATTTCGTCCGATGCACTGCAAAACACCACGGAAATTTGCAGGATCAGATCAGGAGTATTTCTGGCCGCGATGACATATTGTGTGTTGCTTCTGGGAATTTTATCCTGGACTGTGTGTGTGTATATAGGATGAAATGTTGCATTTTTCCCACAGAGCACAAATATTTTATCATGGGCGGAAATTACATCTCTCCGTGCATTGTGAAAATTTGCGGTGGAAAATCGCGGAAAGTGCGCGCCTTATTGTGGATATTGCCAATTTGTCAGAATTATATATGCGCGAGGTGAGAGAGAGAGTGGAAGCCAGTGGCGCAGAGTGTGAATTGCAGGCTTCGTTGCGCACTCAATTGGCACAATTTCCACCCTCCGGGCGCCACTGGGTGAATATTTCGCAAACATTCTTCTGTCTGAGGAGGATTACACATTGTACCTTCGCTCGGCAGAGAGTGCATCCTTCGAATGGGACAGAATCTCGAAGAGACAACGACAGAGAGGCGCTATTCATACCTTTCCATCTCAAGTGTAATCCCCTGCTTTCGCCATGTGATCCCGCCTGTGATGCCCGTGGAAGTCTATTCTGTGGCCCGAGAATGTGTGGAAATAATCTGGAGCATCTGCTGGCATACAAATGCTCCCTATTAATGATGATACTTAAGGGGGCGCGCGTACATTAGAGATTTCCACTGTGATTTACACAGTTAATGTGTGTCATTTCCACCCTTCTCGCCACACACCGACTGACCCTTCCAAATCCCAACTCTTGATGTCGGAAGCGAGAGGGATACTCGTGTGCGAGGAAGTCCTGAGTGTGTCTCAGTTATTGGGAAATTAGTAATTTTCCCTCCATTTGTTGCCGAATGATTTTTATCATTTCACCCAGAGTTTATTCTCTCTCTTAAGAAAAGTGAAAATTGCAATAAATTTCAAAAGATTCTCTATCTCTTCTCCCCCTCCCTTGTGTGCCCAGCGTGAATTTAAATTGATTCGTCTTAGGGGAAGAAGAAAAAAGCTCCATTAAGTGAAATAATTTTGAATGGGAATAATAAAGGAGCACGGAAACTGCCATTACGCTGTGTCTCTTCGCTATAACTAAAATTATCGTCAATTTGTTTTCATTCGCCATGGCTTATAACTTCCATCAGAGAGACAAGAGGGCTTCTGATATTACACTGAATTAACTTGGGCCAATGGAATTTTTCAATATATCTCAAATCACAAACTATGCGGCAACATTGTAATGTGCATTCGCATTATGAATGAAAGAAGCCACACATGAAATAAAACTCCAATCTCTCCGTGCACTTTCATAATTCACAAATGCAGAGAACCCGTGTGTGTGGGAAAATGCAATTAGCAAGTGAGAGGTTGTGAGAGAGATATAAATAAAATATTTAGCGCATGAGTGGGGAAAAATATCCGAATTCAGGAAATTAAATGAATAATAGAACATCTGCAGGGACTAACATTCTTTTTCGCTGTGTCAGCGTTGCTCCAGGCAATTGTATAATTGTGTAAAATTGGAAAACTAACACGAAAAGAGGTGCATTTTCATCACCATTTGAGCTCAATCTTCCTCACTGTGCTGCTTATGAGAGATGTAATTTTTTTTAATGACATTCACACAATTTTACTGAAGTTCTCTGGTGGAGAAGAGCTTTCATGCGCCTTTTTGAGTTCCTTTTTGACGTGTAAATATGTGTAAGGGTTGCAGGATTTATGAAATTGCAGGTTTTTGTCACACTGAAATTCCCATTAAAAACGAATTAAATTTTCCTGCTGAGAAATTTCAATTAATAATGACCACACTTAAAGTTGATAAGCATTAATGTGTCATATGAAACTGCGCAATGTGTTGAATAATTCAGAGAAATTTCGATGGATTCAGAATAGAAATTGTGAGTAAAGACCGCTCAATAATTAATATATTTTTGACAAAGTTTTTACCTTTTTTAAGTGTCAAAGTTGGATGATACTTTGGAAAATGCAGCGCTTTTGCATTTCGCTGCAGAGCTCATATTAAATTGTTGTTCTTTTGTGCACACAAACTGCACCTTTAATTAAAACTTTTCCACAGTGCTAATCATATTGTAATCAGACGCCGAACGTGTGGAATAAGCAATCAAAGTTCCATTTCGCGCTAAAACACAAAGTATGTGCTTTTTGTCTATAGACATAGCGCACGTTATGTTCATTTCACGGCAATCTCACTCTGTTTCTTTCGGCGCTCAACTCGTGCAGTTGCAGTTCAAATAGGAAAGTCACGACAGAAAGGAAGATTGACACGAAATGAAAGTCATGGGAAAGTTTGACACTGGGCTGAAATCTCAATTACAAGGAGGCACAAATATGCTATTTATAGGTGTAATTGAAGTGCATTAAATGGGCGTGAAAATCGCTCATGATGATATTAACATCAAAATGGGAATAAAATTTAATTAAGAGTGATTTAGCAAAAAGGGAATTAAGTGAAACGATTCTCACATTATATGTTGCTACACTCAGAGAAAATGATGATTTTTCATTTGGTTTTCACGCCCAGTGAAATTCGTCATTTTTTCTCTCTTGAATAAGAGACAAAAGGGCATTTTCCAGGAATTGCAGAACACATTTCTGAATTATTCCCACCCCGATTTGGCTGAGTGTCTCAGTGGGTGGCTTTCCATTAGGCACTATTTTTGGGTGGGTCGGATAAAAAATTCCACACGTGTCACTCGCGTTTAAATTCAACAAGTTGAAGGCGTGGTGGAAAAGCTCACCATGTAATTTGTCCATTGTGATTTAATTAATAAGTTCACATTATATTAGTATTGTACACTCACACGCTCTTCATGCTCAGCAAACATACACGAGAGAGTTGACGTGAAAGTGATGAGGATTTTTTCGCATTCTTCAGGGAAATTCCCAAATTAATTTCCCGTGATTGTCATGTATTTTAATATGTGTCGAATCTGTCTTGTGATGCTGGTGTGCAAATTGATGGGTTGATGATTTTCCAGGTGCTGTAGAATTTCTTGGGAAAAGAGCACATTTCCACTCCTCGTGTTGAGCAAATAAAATCACTCCCCTTTGACTCCTTTTCGCCATCGTGCCTCCGAAAGGAGACACAGAGGCAACCAGTTGAGCGCATCTCTCTGCAAATCCTTTAATCACTTTGGCAAATATTGACAAAGACTAAAGAATTATCCCTGAAACGCTGTATGTCGCTTTCCTCCGTCGCCACTCCACACAATCTGCCACGATGGAGTGCACAACGGAGGATTCCTAGGTCTCCTCCGGACACAACGTCTCAATTGTATTTCAATTAATGTGTGTGCAAATACGAGACGAAAGAAACGACATAAGCACAACCGTTTCAACTCTTTACGCACAAGAGGTCCTCGTCCGGATGCTCTTTTGTCCTCACGAGGGCCATACAAATGAAGATGCACTCCGCCTGTCATTCTTCGCCGAGGCACATGAAAGGTCATGTGGAGAGCTCTGCAAATGTGCGCCTAATTGAAAATCCACCTGAAAAGCGCTGCAACTGTTGCCTGGCGAGGAGCCTTTGTCTATCCGCATGTGGAGAAGCTGGAGAAATTTGAAAAGAGACTATTGCACTCTTCGCAAACGTGCACTCGTCCCTCAAAAGAGGCTTTATCAACGATATTAAGAGCGCATTTTCATTTCTTTTCCAGGAAGAATAAGGGCGAACTTTGTATTTTTTCGGACTAAGGCAATTCTTCAACGTTATGTGATTGTTGAAAATGTAACATTCTATGCATAAATTCCAATTCTCAAACTGCAGTAACTTTCCGTGGATGTTTGCAACATTATTTATATTATGATAAACTAAAGATGGAATCAAATATTGTATGAAATTCAAGAGAAAAACTTTTACTACCAACTTTTATTAGGGAAAACACATTTCAACAGAAGAATCAAACGCTTCAATATTTACTTTTGTACATTTGGCACAATGAAATCAGCATTCGGGGAAAAGAAGCGATGCCATAGAAAGTTTTTGTCCACTATTGCCTCATTTTCCATGTTGCAGCCCCAAAAGTGTGCACGAAGAGAGGTATAGAAATTATTGCTGTACAACTGCCATGATCGCATGAAAAATGAACAATCAAATTGTTTTCCAATGTAGCTATAAAATTCGCACGCGGAATTGTTGTGTCCTCTCACCCGGTCGCAGCGTGAAAAGCCACCGTCGAATTATTTATTGTGCTGCACATACATAGAAAATAATAATAATAACTGTCACACAGTGAAAAGGTATAGCGAGAGAATGTCACACAATTGCTCAATACAATTTTCATGTGAACCATTTGGGGCGGAATTGCGACGGGGTGAGCTTTAAGGTGTTAAAATATTGAAAAGTATTATTCAAATAAAAAAATTACGCTATTTTTACAGTATTATCCACAATTTATGATTCATTTTTCATTAGTTATTTTCCATCCTTTTTGATCATATTTCATTGGATAGTTCGATTGAAAGCACTGCTCAGGATTTCACTCTTTTATTCTCAGATTGACTTCTTCCTCAGTGAGAGCTTTAGTCCGAAGAAAAGGTGCCAAAAGTCTCTGGTCTTCGATAGTGTTTCCTCCGGTCAAAAGACTGGTCAAATATCCAATGCTGATACCCAAGAACGTTCCTATGAAGCCGAAGTACATGAAGGAGATTCTGAACAGCCAGAAAATGTCTTCTTGGTCACTTGAAGAGTGAGGAAAATGGTCAATTGTTGAGTTCGAAGCACCCGTCAAAGAATCACTGCAACCGTCCGTTCGGAAAGGAAGAGTCGGTTCGGGTTCGTTGTTGATGCTTCCAATGATCAGAGTGAGAACACTGACAATGGCAGTCAAAGCTCCAGCTTGAGCGCCCTGGAAAAGTTTACTGAATACAGTCAAGTCTTCTATATCAACGTCTCTCATCATACCGCGCTATTCGCCTTTGGCAACACTGCACCGAGCACGAAGAGAGTTAGAAGAGCTGCAGTATTGAGAGCCATGCACTGATTTGTCATTTGCATAATCATTCCCATCTTTTCGATGAAGAACACCAAGAAAATCTGTAGAATTCCTAGAATAATCACAATAATCTTCATCGTTCTGTTGGCGATGTTTTGGTTGATGTTTGGGAACCAATTGCTGACAAAGTCTTCGAAGATAACGCCACTCATGGCGTTCAAGTACGACGAAGTTGTTGACAAAGCGGCTGAAAACACGCCAGCAATGAAGATTCCGTTGAATCCGAGGAACAAAGAGGCTTTCTCCTGGATGAAGTGCGGTAGAATCTGATCGATGCTCTGTATTTTTCCTGCCTTCATGGGATCGCAAGTTTCATAGTTGGCATACACGATAATGCCCAAAAACGGAGAGAAGCACAGAATCATGCCAAACACGGAAACTAGCATCCAAGCTGATATTGTCATCTTCTTCTGGCTGGGCAACGAGAGAAATCTCTGCAAAATGGTTTGATTGAGGCCAAATTGAAAGGTATTTATGGCTGTTGATGATATCAAGTATGCAAGCAATGAGCTTCTCTTGTTCATGTCCATGTTTGCAATGACAATTCTTCCTCCACGATCGGCGACTCGGAAGACATTTCCGAGTCCTCCAACGGCTCGAGTTCCGATCACGCTCACGATAATGCAAGCCACGATCATGAGCGCCAATTGTACGACGTCTGTCCACAGTACAGCTTTGAATCCGCCGATTGCCGTGTAAGAAGCGCACAGGAGAGACAAGATCGCGATGGTGACGTAAGTATTGACGCCAGTGACTCTCTGGAAGCTCAAGGCTGGAACGTAAACTGTGACCGGCAGGAAAATGAGTCCCGTGAAGAGGAAGATGAAGCTGGCAAGGAGTCTGACTCGTCGATTGAATCGCAATTCAAAGTACTTGAAGCTCGAAGTCAACTTGAGTTCCGCGAAGATGGGCAGAAAAATTGTCGGAACCACTAAAGGGATGACAAATAGAGCCGGTGCGAACATCCAAGTGTGAGTTCCATAAGTGTAGACTTCAGCTGCCAGTCCGACAATCGAACTTCCCGACACTGACGTGGCGATCAACGAGGCGATAACAGGGAAAATGCTCATATTTCTGCCTCCGAGGAGAAAATCCTCGATCGTCGACGCGGTTTTGCGGGCCTTGAAGGCATAATACAGACCAATCGCGCCGCTCACGAAGAACACAACCACGAAGAAAGAATAGTCCAAATGAGTGAATTGACCTTTGTCCACAATATCCATGATCCTGATTTTCTTAACTTTTCCAAGACGTCGTCGAGAAGCAACTGAAAAGTGACACTTGACTGCCTTAGAACTATTTAACCAACATATGAAAATGCTTTTATGTCGTTTTCATGCAGGCGATAAGCGCTTTAGGTGGATTTAATATTCGTATACTTAAATGACAATCCATAAAATGTATTTTTTACGGTGGTTTTTAAAACATTTCGTCCGAAAAGAAATACAAGTGCATAAACAAATTTATTCTAATTTGCATGGGAAGGTAAGAAAAACCTGAAAATGCTAATAAAATCGATTTTTTTCTTCATTCTCTGCACTTATTTTGGTCAAATTTGGCTTCGGCTCACTTTTTCGGACGGGTTTTCATCTTTAATTTCCATTAGGCAACAGTTTAAATAGAAAATATGAGTGCATAATTACTGAAGTGATGGATGAAAATTCCCTTATTTGAACTTTAGTGTCAGATTCTGTTGTCTCGTGCATATTTTATTTGGGCCGTTTGCTCCTGTTGATGCTCCTGTGCCACTGTCACCTGATCCAGGAGAGCGACTGCACTGAGACACTGGAAGCTGCAGCAAGGACACTTCATGGGGGACAAGTCGTGAAGAGTGTATCCACAAAACATGGGCACAAAAGGAGGGTTTGTGTGACAAGTGGAAAATCCCGAGGAGATATCTTTTATTCCTGCCTCCCCCAGCTCAAGGATCTCAACAAAATATTAATTATTCATTCAGCAGGGAGAAGCGAGTTCCGTGTGCTCGTCCTCCCTTCTGGCCACATCTCGTCACCGCAGCTCCTTGTACCTTGAATGCCGACCACGGAGGTGAATTTATGTGATCCAATGGCGTGTCTCGTGGATGCTTTTGTGTCTCTGTGACGGAAATATTTCGGGGTCACACTGTGATGATACACTTTCTTAATGTCTTGTGTGTATAGAGAAGCACGGACAGTGCGAAGGGTTGGGTTGCGGTGCAAAAAAGGGGCACAGCATGTCCGAGAGAAGGGAGAGGAAACTATTCCTGAAATGCTGTAATAAATTTCGAATAATTAAAGTGGACAAGTCACGCGAGAATGAATGTGAAAACCCGTAAAATAGCATAAGAAAATGAAAGGTTCTCTCCCCGGCGATTATTCTCTTCAACTCACCCTTACTTTGTGTCCTTCCCTTCTCTTTTTGGCGTTTCTCTTTCCGTCACTTCACCTTTCAAATTAGTTTTAGGCATTTTCTCGCATCTCCTCGCCCAACAAAACAATACACACAGCCAAAGCACAGCGGAAATAATATCATTTCCCTCCGTTAAGCCTCAAATATTTATTTCTTAATTCTTTACTTTTTCTTCTTGTTTTGATAGGTGAATTGATATAATTTTTCCTGTGCCTCTAAGAGATTTTGTCACATAATACATCTCACAATTACGCCCATTTGCCAAGTGATAAAATATTCCTTCTGCTCTCTGCTCACACTAATTCACTTTCCCAGAAGATTCATCCTGCAAGACAAGGCAATTGATAAAATCTCAGGCCTCCCCAGAGGCTCTCGGGCCACTCACCGAACTCGAATCTCCTGCATCTGAAGATTGCGAGGGATCACCTGTTGAACTGCGCTCCCTCTCGAAGTCACTCTTCTGAGGATTCTCCTCGTCCAACTCGTATATGTTGATTGAGTGACTCGATTGGGCGTGCACCATGAGATCCCATGGATTTGTAAATGTCTCCTTGCACACTATACAAATCAATTTTGTCAAATGAGCTGCTGGGTGCGCCATAGTTTCCAAAAAAACAAACAAATGCCAAAAAGTGGTGGTCATCACCAAAAAATTGCGATTAGGTGACAAAAAGGACTTCCACGCTGCACACAATGGCACTCACCGTTCGTCGAAATGGAGAACTCCTGGCATTTGCATGTCATCCGAAGTTGACAGTACGTCTTCTTGTGGTTGAGAATGTCCTTCAATTCCGAGAAGTGTTCTCTGCAATTGCCGCAAATCAGAGTGTCGGCATTGCCTGAAAATGGGTGTGATTGTCTTATTCGATATAAATATATTCAGTTAAATTGTTATTCTACTGTTGATAGTGCAAATCTCGGTCTTAATTTCATTCAGAGGCCAATTAGCAATCCAAACATTATGACAAATGTGCATTTATGTACCGAGAGGACAAAAAATGAGAGAGTGTCGTGCAAGAAAATGTTGATTTTCCCCTTTAAATCCACCCACAGGAATTTTCCGCATCAAAAGCATGGCAAATTTGCACTTGGTTCAGCCCGGAATTCTTGCGGAAAGGCGCGCCCCTTGGCGTTTGCTCATGCAGAAAATGCTGCGGTGAAAGAGTTGCCCGCTTTTTCCCTAGACCATCTTCCTCCCCATATATACATACAAAGCTCTCTGGACTGTGCGAAAATGATTAAGCAAAAGAGTGTGTTGAGTATGTAATTGAATGTGGCCACGGAAAAACTCACTGTAGACTTTGAAGTTGTCTGGAAAATTGAGTGGCTTGTGCCGGTCGAGGTTGTGATTTACTTGTTGCACCGATGCATTCACTCGTGTGCCACTATCTTCGTTCTCCAGCTTCCACCGGAACAGTGGCTTCGGCCTGGACTTGTGGTGTTGCTGGAAAAAGATCTGATGGTGCTGATAGCCCTGTGTTAGTTGGAACAAATTCAATTTAGTTTTTGATGAAATGCCCGCCAAGCGATTGTGCTGTTGCTGTTGCATGAGGCGCTGCCTCTTCATCGGCTTCTGCAACTTCCCCTGAAGCAGCGTTGACGTGTACAAACTGCAACGGCACGATTTCGTGTGCTATCAGTTTTCTTCTATTCAACACTACAAATGCCAAGACATTTGATGGGCGTATATGATAAATAAGTAGCGTGAAGAAGTGTCTGCTAGACTTCCTCACTTTTGCGAGGAGTGTCAGAAGCCATGACATCCCTCGAGAGCGTGTTCGGTGACTCAAAATTCATCACCCCAAGGCGATAATTTTCTTCTTCACCAGCTGACAAGAATGGGGAGAGCTGTGAAGACCGACATTGCTGGTCCCATAATGACCCAAAAGTGCCAATTAGACGTGCATCATCGCCATTGTGGGGACTGCCACAAAAATATCCGGGGGTGTTCAGACCAATCTGTCTGCCCATTGTTGCTCTCGAGGGTCTCCATTGTTCAATCCCCGGCCACAGGCGCCAAGTAAAAATTCTCCACGCAATTGTGGGGCCCAAGACGAGCTTCTGTGTGTAATAATCGGTGTTTGAAGTCATGTTGTGCGTCAAGATTCACAAACACACGCTCGCATCCTCACGACACTGATGATGCCATGCGAAGGAACACGACCGTGTGTCACATAAAACTGTCAGCAACAGATATCATGTCATTTGTAGATTTAACTTGTCGACAATCCTCTTGTTAAGAGAACATTATGTTACAGTGCCACAAAGAATTTCGCAACACTGTGCTGGAGAGAGGACAATGGAATGTGCATCAGTGACGAGTGAAGGGATGCTAAAAGTTTCCGCACAGGACAGGAGGAAGCTAAGGTGGTAGAATGCATCCTACTTCATGGGATTTATACTGTATCATGAGTCACTTTGTCGGGACATTTTCGGGATTAAAAGTTACTGAGTGCGGATTTAGGGTTGTCAAATCTTCACATATGACAAAGTCCTTTCCAAGGTCCTTTGCGACCTTTCAATGAAATTCTACATCACTTTAATTCGCTATCAAGCTCATTTTCCATCGAAATATCCAATGATATATTTCGGAAATCATTCTTTAACAATGCTTTTTATGTGCATAATTTCAGTATTAAATTAACTTGGATTAAATTGAGAGGATTTCTGAGTCTACAATCGACTGACAACTATTTTTGTTCCACGCTAATTAGTATATTTATTTTATAATTGTTATTGAAACTAATTAGTCAAACTGAGAATTTCTAAATGCGGATTGTTCAAATTACAAATTTATAAACTTTCGGTTAGTTCACTGGAAATAACATAAATCCGCAATTCATTATTAAGCTGGGTCAATTCATGGCCCAGAGGCACGAGAGGCACGTCCTTTCCAGTTTTCCCAGTGCTTTTCTCTTGCCTCTCAAGATCAAAGGGCGTGGAGAGACATATTTTACGAAAGCTGACACGATAATTATGGCTATTAAGAGTGATAGCAATCAAATTAATTTTTGTGCATTGTGATTTTAGCCCAGATATAATTATTCATTCGCCTCGGCTTTTCCCGAGCGCCATGTGAGAGTTGGATGTCTTCATTCGCCGTCGCGGAAAATTTATGTTGGCGATGAATTAATTGTGTTTCGATGACAAATCAAAATTCAACACGTGTAAATAGCAATTAAGCCCTACACTCAATTTTCTCCATTTCCATATACGCCACATTCCTTTGCTTTCACAATCATTTATAAATAATGAGAAGGCTGAGAGGTTCGGCATAATTTTGTCCGAATGTAAACACAACTTGTTGTTATTGTCTCAAGGAGAAGCGGATGAAAATAATGAAAAATCAACAGCATAATGAGATATAAACATTAATAGGGAATAAATACGCGTGGCGCTCAAGTGTTTCCACCAGCACAAATATATACACAAAACCCTCTTGTCCACTTTTCACACCCACCCTTTTCGCGCCATTTGCGCAGTGGTGCTAAATTAAATACACAGCCGAAGGAGGTTTTCTTTTCGGCAGCCCCGGAATAAAATTTGAGGCCCATTTTGCACCCAGTCAACGACATTAGGCGGGAAGAATTGCTACTTTCTCGTGCGGTGGCAATAAAAATTAAAATGGCAGAAACGTGAAAGAAGCATTGTTGCGAAATCATCTCGCGTAAAAATTCACTCTGGCCAAAAGGGCTCCAAATGAGGAGTACAAAAGAGTAAATTTCCGTAAATATTTACCCGAATTCTCACGGATATTTAAATCGTCCCAAGTGTAAATATTTGCCACCATTTGAGAGCGCGTTTCAATTGAAGGTGGAGACACGCAAATATTCCTCACTCTGAGAAAAGGAGAGTCATAAAATTTGTGCTCCACATCGTGAAGACTTCCAGACGCACGTTCAAAACATTGTGCTAAGTGGTCGAAATTGTAAATCATTGCACGATGACCGGAGAGGAGAGGAAAGTTTGATGGGTATGAGATGATGAAGTAAGAATTTATACGTACAAGTCTTGTCCAATTTTCGCCATTTGCAGCTTCTTGCGTCCAATTTGATGCGCCTTGGGCTCCGACACGAGATTTACATCTGTGCGAGAGGCGAAAGAAAAACTTATTAAATTTATTGCCATTTCACACTATGCTTCGGGGCGATGCTGCAGATTCCTGTCTGTGACGTCGGGACTTCTCAGGGCGGAAGGGTGAAGTGCGTCGTGAGGTGATGGAGAAGATGAGACACAAAATGTTGACAATGGCAAGGGGGAGATAATGGCGCTAAACAGTGTACACCACTTCCTATTACTTCCACAATTTCTGTGCAGAATCACAGACACTTCGAGAACTTTGGCAGTACTTGAAACATGAGTTTTTCTTACTGCCTTCGCCTTTTTCGGAACATCATAGACTTTTCCAACCGTCTAAAGTATTATAACCTCAAATTTAGACAGTAATTTCTGTAAAAAGACTTAATTTTTATTTGTATGATCTTGAAAAAACTTACAAAGAAACAGTTTTTAGGAAATAAATTAAGTTTCTAGCGAATATTTTGATGTGTTTAAATTTTTTATCAATCTTACGAATGCACTGTTAATCATAACCTAAAAATTACCCTGAGATATCTGAAATAATTCTTGAAATTAACTGAAATTTGCCATTTTAGAGTAGAAAATCATTCAAACAGCCCTTAAAGTAGACAATTTTGTATCATAAAACTATATTTTAGGGGTTATGATCAATCTTAGCAATCGCAAATGCTAAATTTTACTAAGGAATATGAATTTTTCAAATTTGAATGCAAAAAAGGGCGTTTCCCGATGATATTTAGTACTAAATTTTGCTTAAAGTTAGTTACATAACCTATACAAGCAGTGAGATTTTTAATGAAGAAAATGATGTAAAAAGTAGTGTAACACTTCTAATCCTTTTTGCTTAACTGTACACCACTTTCGACCATAATATCTCCCCCTTGGACAAAGCTTGGGAATGGAGAAACTTTGATCATCACAGACAGACAACTTCTTGGGATCACTCTAGATAGAAGATCAGATTCTGCGTGGTTAGAATGTGACAGAATTGACTGGCGGCCAAGGGAAACGTAGGAAAAGCTGTATTTATCAGTGCAGTTTCCAATCTGCAATCGTCTCAACTCTGTCTCTCCTCTGTGCTTTTTTATTCATTCCCGGAAAGACTTTCAACACACATGACTTATCCATTGAATTCCTCCCATTTCCCATGAAACGACGGCCCGGGCGAGAGTGGACCAGAAAAGTTTCTCAGGGTATCATGATAGGACTCAATGGGTGGGTGAATTTTCGGTGGGGCTGCCGAGGGTGATGGCATTGAGGGGAGGAGAGAGAGATCTGTGATGCCACAGAGTCACGTACAATTGGAATTGAGGTGATTTTCTCCGAATTGGTTTATTCACTTTGTTTAACTGATAGAGGATGTGATTCTTCTTCCTGTCTCCATGACTCTGTGCCTTTTTTGTCCTCCGCACACCTTCGGATATTCATGGCCCGGTCACGTGTGTTCGCAGGAGCTGCGAAGTCGGGGTGTCTCTTAGAGGCATTTGGCTGCATTGGTGGGAATTCAATTAGTCAGCAATTAAAGATTACAAGAAGAGAGCGAGAGAGAGAGAATCAATTGGCAGACGCAGTAAAGCATTTTTATCTGGAAACGTGTTCAGAGCTTCGATTCCACTTGAATTTATGAGAGTTAATTTCTTCCCTTTTTCACCCTCCAGAGGAAATGACTTGAAACGAACAATCGAAATTGAGGGCTGAGAAATAATTTCCTCTCCTTCGCAAGCGGATCTCTTGCGAGCATTCCTCCGTTGTTGGGTTTTCGGGATGTCCATAGAGAGTGTGTGAAACTAATTGTTTTGAAGTGCGATGGAAAATGTGAAATATTGAGAAGGGGATTAAAAAGTCTTACCGAGCACTTGACTCAAGACCGTTCGTCCATCCTCACCATGACAGGCTTTCCTGGCGTCGATGGGATTTGCATATTGCACAAATGCGTAGCCTTTGTGCATGGAAATACCTGGGAAAGATGAGAGCGAATGAATGGTTTTTCATTATGTAATACCTCAAGTTCAAGACACTCAACATAGTTTATAGAGCTCAAATTGCAATTTTCTATCCTCATAGTCTTTAGCTTTAGTGCTTGATTGCATTACATACATTTAACTATCAGAAATTCCTCTCAGTTTCCTACTCTCTAGCAAAATTCACAATGTTGGGATAAATTCAAGTAAAGTTAACTTTGCTCGTTGTCAGCTTATTGGCTGAATCCTTTTCAATTGGACCAAGAGTGGATTTTACTTGAGACTCGAGCTCTTGTCAGAGAAATTCAATCACTTGCCGCAAATTACAAGTGAAATGTGTGCAATTATTGAATTTGTGTTGACAACGGGATAAAGTTGGTGTCGTCATGGAATGAGTGAAAATTACTATGTCTACACTGAGAGAAACTTAGCATATTTCTCTCTATATATGTTTCTGAGACCAGTAATTTTACCATGTGATGTTGAGTTAACTTTTATGGTCGCTAAATTATTTGAACTCAAAACATTCAGCACAATGAAAGACGTGAGATTGACTGTCGCAAAACAATCTTTGGCATCAGCGCGGTATTTTCTCTGAGTGTGAGATGGTTTGTACTTACCAAGGAGACGTCCATAGCGCTGAAATATCTTCTCCACGTCGGTTTTTGAACACTGGAACGTGTTGAGATTCCCAACAAACACCCTGGAGTGGACAGAGATTGGATCCAGAGAGTTTGTGTTGTTCGACACCAGTGACATTTTCATTTTCATTTCACTGTAAAGAAAGTTGATGGCCCCAACTTGTTCACCATGAGCTCTTCACCCTTGGCTGCGCTGTTCGCCCGGCTTCGGTGTCTGCAAGTGAAGGCAAAGTGACTCTCTTTCCTGTCTTCGGCGCGATCAAAGGCGTCAAAAGGCATCTTTCGCTCCTTGCTTCGATTTTTCTATCGCACGACAAAGTCCACACTTCATGCAGTGCTGCTGAATTATTGGCTCAAAAAGGATTTTGACAATGGATTTAATTACATTTCACGCACTCGATTCGAAGCGCTCTCAGGACTCTCATTTTGTGTCTCATGAGACAAATTAAAGGTGGGATAAAGAACACGCAAACTTGTAGTGAGCCCAGGATATAAAGTTTTGCCGAGAGAGCTGAGAGAGTCTTACATGGTGTAATTAAGTTTAAATCTAGTGGAATGAAATTCTAATCGGTTGCAAATGCGCATCTAAATTGCTTCGAAAACTCAATTACTGAACTTATTTTGCCTCTCCGGCGTCAAACTATCACTTCTCACGTTGTGTTTTCTTTTCTGCCTTGCAAAGATCTCTTCGACAATGCACGAATCGCACATGTTCCTTCTCTCCCTCATAAACTATGCGTGCGAAATTTTTGTGGGAGATTATTAATTTTTCAAGCGTTGATCTCCAACGGAATGATCTCAATTTCGCCTTCTTATATTGCGCCAATGGGGTTGGCGATGAGGGAGCGAAGATTAGCAAATTTAGAGCCACGCCAGAGCTCAGCTCATCCAGCCAAAAAGAATGCCATGTTTCACCTCACCCGAAAGCACTTTGAATGAAAAATTACCCTCAATATTTTTTTTTGGTCTCTCTCTCTCACTCTGTCTGGTGGGAAATTCCTTTCACGACTCTGGGAGAAAATTAGAATTCACTTTTATTCACTTATAGCATGATTTCCACGCAGGTGAAAAATCCGCGCCTCAGACCACCACCAATCAAGCCCCTCGCGGATGTAATTCACACGTACAAGATGTGAAATGCGAAACTTTCCACCCTCATCACTTTTGCGTGCTCTCGCGCTGCGCCTTCGCCGGCAAGACGTCCTCTGTGCACCGCGAAATTGCCGAGACTGACATTCGTGGCGGCACAGCACGGTGATTTTCTGCTGTTGAGCTGGATGGGCGAAGAGGGGCGGATGCAGGGGAAATTTTCCGGTGGGAAAACTCGGCTCGAAGTGGCGACACACGCGAGAGGGGAAAGCCCTTCTCCAGGCTGTCAGGGGAAAATCCATCCGTGGCGATTGTTGAGAAAAAGTGTCAATATTGCCCGAAAAAAAAACACCCCACAAATATTTACCATCTAGTTTCAACCACTTTTCCGTGGGGATGAAGAATGGCGAGGCGTCGAGTAGACAAGAGGGAATCACAGGGATTCACACACGGATTCACGGGAAGTTTCTGTGCACTTCACAGATTATTACGTGAAATTGAATAAACAGACCACAAGTGAATTGAAGCTCAGATTCTTCGGCACAAAATAACTGTCGCGCCTTCTTGAGGGCTTTGATAATCGTCTTGAAAATGACTTAACTTTCTTTCTAAGAAACAGCGCCGATTCCTAGGTGAAGGTTACCATTTCATCTGATCTAATGCTTGAGCAACATGTTTTGACATCCCCACGAATTTCAATGCTGTCAGCGAACATGTCTTCTGCTATTATATCGCACGGCATGAAAAAAGCTCTCTCATAAATACTAGCAAAAGTTGGGATGTTTCAATCTGAAAGCGGTGGATTATATAGTGTCACCCCTTTCTTACAATGAGAATGAGATGAGCGAATTGAAATTTTTTCCCCTTGCTTGGGAACGCCATAGGTAATGGAGACTGACGTTCGCTGAATGAATAAATGGCTCAGGGAATAAAAGCTATTTGAATTTAATGCTCAACGCCAGAGTGGGTGGACTCACACCCCATCCTCAAATGTTTCCTTCAGCACCAGTGGTGAGGGAAAAATTTTGCATGGCGAAGACAATGGGAAAAATCTCGGGAAATTTCACTGCTACACACAACTTTCTCAATTTGTCCCGTAAGTTAATCATTTAATTTCCCAGAGAGACTCTCCTTAAGAATGTTTGGCAAAAAGGACTTCCTCGCAGGAAAGTTTCTCCGCCTCAAATTGGTGTGATCTTGAGTTTGGGGGAAAACGAACGAGATTGAGTGCGGAATGCGATAGAGTGAATAATTTTACAACGTGTGAAAACACTCACTTTGCGGCACTGAGATAAAGAGACACGGAAAAAGAGCAAATTGTAAGTCTCAATCAACACATCTTAATTACTCACAGTCTCTCTAAGTGAATTAACTTGGGAATTTAGAATAAATAATTAATCCAATATTCAGAGAATCTCTCGTGCACAGATTGATTAGGAATTGCTGTGCTGTTTTCTTCTTTTCGGAAATGGAATTTTATTTTTTGAAAATTTACTCACAGAGAGATGGAAATTGATTTGCGGGTTTTCTTTTCAAAGTCACTCTCTTGCATATCTCATAGCGTATAATTTCACAGCTTGAGTGTCACTTTTCGTGACTCTCTTCCGCGATCTCTGGCTTAATCCCCACTTTGGACAGCGCCGATTAAAGCCTCTCTTGCTTAGGCGCTCAAGTGAGTGATGATGCCAAAATTAACCTAATTAAAATTGCGTCAGCATTAACCGCTTAAGACTCTTCGGTCATTCAATTAAATTTTCATTTCATAACGCGTCTTGAAGTATTACATCACAATTCCATCTCCTCGTGCGCCCCAGACGCGTCATCTCATGAGAATTGCGGGCAAAAAGGGTCTCTTCCCCTCTCTCTCCTAGGTTCTGAGGCTCTTCAGCGGGAAGCACAAGTTTCAGCTCAAGTGGAAAACATCATCATGTTTTATGTGGTGATGAATAATTATTGTCTTTCTAATGAATTGCAGATTAAATTGGAACAACAGAGAGTTGCTCTGCTTGGCAATGGCAAGGATTTGCTTGTCCATGTGTGGAAATTTTTACAGAAGCCTCATTAATGCTTCCACATGAATGTTAATTATATTCGCAACATTGACTGCAACGATTTTTTCCCCTCTCTCTCCCACTCTCACTGATTAATTTGATGCATTTGCAGATATAATAATAATAACAAGCGTTCACCACTTTTCGCCTGCAGCCTGAATTTCCGCCCACTAAAAACCCCTTCATTTCTGAACAATTAACTAACCTCATTTGCATGGTGGAAAGTGTGTTTCAATTTTCTACAAATATTAACAAGCGGTGCTCGATGGATATTTTCACATATAACGTCTGTTGGGCGGCGATATTGGTGATAATTAAAATTGATATTCAATTACCTTTTCATTCCAATTTTAATTAATATATCTTCCAACTATATTCAATTAATAAATTTAAATTTGATGATTATTGCGTAAAATTGCAACGCGATATATGCAAATGTCAGTTGTATTAACAATGTTTCCCTGCCAGGAACTCCTCACTCAAGCCAATTTTGCAAAAAGCCCTCTGGATTGAGGGCAAGAGGGTAGGGAATTTTATTGCCCGTGTTAAGTGATATTTAATGCATATTCCATGCAGTGGGGATGAAAGTGCCGAGATGCAGCACAGGCGTGTGTACATTTTTACAATGCATAGTTGAAGGGGTTCGTCAGAGAGCTTTTTCAATGCCGCGCCGTGTTTGTGTTGTTCGAGGAATGTTGTGTGTTTTCACCACGAGACAAATTTCCATTCGAGGAAAGCAGGCGTTTTTGTCTTTCTGCTTGATTTTTCCTTTTTTCCCCTTATCAATTGCGACCCATGCGTCCAATTGCGATTCCAGTATTCACACCGCAATTCTTTCATCTTTGGCTTTTTACACACAAAGTCACGGGGAAAGCACACAGTAATTTTCCTCTCGCATTTCTCGCCACCATCGGTATAATTAATTTGTTTCTCTGCATTTCTCACTCGCAATGTGTCTGGCGTGACAAAGAAATGCCACAAGAGAAAACGGCCAAAAGTCATCAGAGTTTGCTAGAATTGACAAAGTATGATTTTCTTCTTTATGGTTACATCTAAAATGAAAATTATCGCTCCAATCTCCCGTCCAATCGATTGAGTGTTCACTTTGGTGACACAGAAAATGAATTTAGAGCTAAAAATTTTCATTTATCACCATCACAGACGGGGTGCGGAGGGCACAAGGAGGTTGAGGGATTTTATGGAAAACACTCACGTCATCTGTATGAAATTGAGATCAATTGATGGTTTGCGCTCCACATTGATATTTATTGAAAATTTATTGATTATTTTGGCTCTCCATGGGTTGGATATTCTTGTGGCTGTTGCGGCGTCATTCACCCTCCTTTCTCTCGTCACCGATCGGAGATATGGCCTGTTTGTCACAGTATGAATTGCATCAAACTGTATCAGATTTTGAGTGGTAATTGGGAAACCTTGGCTGTACAATAAGCCTGCAGATTAATTATATGAGCATTCCACAGACACTGCAGAAAGCGCTCTCAATCAACTGACGTTTCGCTTGCGGAGAATTCAGAAATTATCCATGCGATCCAGATTTATTAATTGACACGTCTTGACTTTGACCTCATTTGAAGTTGTGCAGAATAGTGAATTATTGTGGATAATTATTTCCCAGCTTAAGGTCACATATTTGTGAGGTGAAGAAGAATAAATGTCTGGAAAAGGTGGAGAAAAATATTGATAAATAAGAGAGTGCAATGCGACAGAATGAGGGCAACTTTAAGGAGGGTAGAAATTTAATGCATCATTGAGTGATATTTTCCCCTCATACTTTTATCTCTTGTGCACCAAGAGTGGGTTGAAGTCTATGAGTCTCATGATGAGAACAAAGATATACTTTGGCTGGTGATTCGCTCCGCTGGGCGGGTGAAAATGGATGGAAAATGGAAAGAATAATAGTTCTTCGGGAGGGTGAAACGAGGAAAAAAGAGAGGAGAAATAAAAATGTGTGCTGAGTGTCCCCTCGGGAAATTTTCGAAATAACTCATATTTCACAGACTCCGCTTCACCCGTAGCGCAAGAAAAATCCAACTAGAGGGCTTTAGTGTGAGTTGCCTTCAACAAATACTTGAGAGATGAGAACTTCTTCGCCTGTAGTCTTTGCTTTTTTGCCCATGCACCCCAGAAAGGATTGAGTAGATGGAGACTAAATACGACTCAACGATGCCAAACACACTAGAAAAGAATAACAGTAGGGAAATTTATCGAGTGTAATTTGCTTAGACTAGACATGTCACAAAAGGCCCGGGTTGAACGGCGATTGCGACAATGTAACTCTCTTCATACATCGTCACTTTCAATAGCAGATGCCTTTTTTCCTTTCCCAAATCTTCTCAACATCCCCCGAGAGAGAGTCCTGACCGCCTTCGCGAGAGTTGTGATCTCATGGGCACAAATTGACCGAGCAGAAGAGTATAATTCGGAATGGATGTCATTTGCAGTATCTGTGAATTCCTAACAGCACACTCGCAATTCACTCAGCACGAGCGCTCATCTCTTGCACAACGCCATACAGTCCGTGGTGCACAGTCAAAAGTACAATCGAGAGACATTCCGTGGGTTGGGAGAGGCGACAGCATATAAAAAGCAGCCCGGACAAAACTCAATTTATCCTGGAAAACGTACTTTTTGAATTCCAAATCACATACGAATGAAAACGAATGAGTTGACTCGACGATATGCCAGTGATTTTACGCTGCATGGGCGGCGATATAATGGTATGGATAAAAAGAGCCGAGGACTATGGGATAAATGGATGGATTTCATACTGTATTCCCTCGGCAAAGCCCCACCGCTAAATGTGACTGGGCGAGTGTGTTGTTATGGGGACAACTCAGTGTAAATCACATAATCTCGTTAAAATGCTAACCGATTAAGAATATCCATCTCTGTTCCGTCACACTGATTTGACGTGGTGTGTATTTATCTGCGGGATTTACTCAGACTTTTCATCTCACCATCAATATTTTTCATTCATGCAATGTGTGTGGAGCTTATTTAAATTGCACTAAAGCTTGACGCTTGTTTGTGACAAACCCGAGGAGAATCATATAACATTCATAAATCA